ATCGATGAGAGAGAATCATTGATCAGCTGCCTCTTGCACATCCCCCACTGGGGATGTGCCCACAACCAAGGTACATGCCCTTGACCAGAATCGAACCTGGGATCTTTCAGTCTGCAGGCCGACGCTCTATCCACTGAGTCAAACCAGTTTCGGCTAGTCCCGCTTTCTAATTTTGGAATCTGATAATGAGACTTCCCCTCCCCCCAAACACCCATACTTATATAGCTAAAGGTAACAATTTCTTGGTTCTATGTGAGCCTTATGAAATTGTGGGAGGAGCCAGAGTTAAAACCGGAAGTCAGTCTGTTCAGCTTCATTGGGCTCTAACTCTTGCCTTGGCTAGACCAGCGGAGAGCAAGCAGCGGTGTGGGTCCAGGCTTGTGAAGCAGCAGCCGGGCGGGCCCCAGGATTTGCCTTTGGTAAGGTCAGTTGGGCCCCTGGGGAGGAAGGCCTTTGCTTCTAGGGCTTTCTAGGCTGCTGGGGATGGGATCTGGTGGCTGTGGGCTCCTGGAAATGGGCCTTGTGTGTGAGCCTAGTGCCCGTGGCCCCACAGATTGCATATCTCAAGGCCTCCTTAGCTAAGGTTGATGCATTTCTATATATATATATATATTTTTTTTTGAAATGCTCCAAGTACTGTGATCCTTATGTAGGTGAAACTTGTCAAAGAATAGAAAGCAAAAGTTAAATCTCGAAGAACTTTGGCAGATTCTGGGGGATTCCCCACTCAGAGGTGGCCATCCCGGCCGGGAGGGAATGGCCACACTGTCAACTACGGGCGGGGCCGGAGAGCCATTTTCAAGTCCTGTTGAACTGGAAATGAGATGCAGGCTTTTGTCTCACACGATGACTGCAAGTTTTGGATTTCTTGTCCCCTGTTATCCACATTCCTAAAGGATCTGGGATGCTGCTAGAATATTGCTAGAAGGATTGTTTGTGAGTAGATGAGGTTTATTTGTAGTTAAATCATGGCCGTAAGGCAGTGGTGGATTTGAGGTCCAAATTTAGGCTCCCGCATGTACTAGCTTGGTTTGTAAGGTTTGTATAGTTCCCTGCTATAGGGAAGTTAATAAGAATTCTTGTTTTATGCTTTGGGTAATTTTTTGGTCTTTTAAAATTTTTTAAATAGTTTTAATATTTAAAAAATATAATTATACTAGAGGCCTGATGCATGAACTTGTGCATAGGTGGGGTCCCTTGGCCTGGATCGAGAAAAGGGCGGGCTGGCCGGCCGGGAAAAGGACTGAGGGAGGTTGGCTGCTGTTCTGCCGAGGCTCGGCCAGCGGGAAGGGCCCAGGGCAGTTGGCTGGCTGGCCCTGCTCCCGTTTGGGTGGGGGGAACAATCGGGGTGAGGCTGGCTGGGAAAGGGGTGGCGGGCATTTGGGGGAGTTTGATCGGGCCCACATGGGGTCATTTGGAAGGTGCCGTGCTTGTCATAGCAACCAGTGGAGCTCCTGAGGGGACAGTTTGCATATTGGATGTTTTCCTTCACTGGCTTCCAACTGCAATTAGAAAAAAGTAAAAATCTTTTCATCGTCTATCACTGCAACCTTCAAGTGAGACGCTCAGATCTAGCCTCATTCATCTCTTACTGGCTCTTTTCTAAACTGATTTCTCACAATAGAAAAAATGAGGATAATAATAGCAATTTTGTCAGAGTCTAGCAGTAAAAATGAGACAAGAAAACATGTTTTTTATATTTATATGGATTATATGTCATAAATATATATCTCAAAAAACCTATTTACCGTAATATGCTTTCAGGCATAAATATCTTATAAAAATATTAAAGGTACTCCTCTATGTAATGCGAACTATGTATGTGAATTCATTGTTGAACAGATACTTTATAACCGAAAGCCAAGCAAACCTCCTGGAGAGGTTCCCCTCCCCACCCCGCTCCTCTGCCTTGGAGTGTTACTTCTACTGTTTTAGGATCAGAAAAATGCAACGAGGAATGTTTTTTTTGTTTTTTAATTAATCTGCCCGGCGGGTGTTGTTCCGTGGTTGAGTGTTGACCTGTGAACCAGGAAGTCACGGTTCAATTCTGGGCAGGGCGCATGTCCGGGTTGTGGGCTCAATCTCCAGTGTGGGGAGTGCAGAGGCAGCCAATCCATGATTCTCTCTCATCCCTGATGTTTCTGTCTCCCTCTCCCTTCCTTTCTGAAATCAATAAAAATATATTTTAAAAAATATCAATCTCACCATGTTTCTAGCTCATGAGTTTGTCCAGTAAACGGAGGTCCCAGGGTCCCTATAGTTAGGACCAAGTGCCAGCTGCAGCCTGTGGTTAATGGTGGAAAATCTCCTGCAGGTGATTGCTTTCCAGGCACTGAGACTAGAAAACTAAGTGACCTAAACAACAAACAAACAAACAAACAAACAGACTGATTGTCAGTCATACCGGTGTGTGCTGGGAGCCCTGAGCCAGGAAAGAAACCTCACCAGCATTTTATAGTGGCCATTTTGATTCGATGCAAAAATCACTTAGAAAACATTGTCATGTTACTGCAGAGATAGTAAGATAGATAGCGACATGAGCTGACTACCGAGGACAGGAGCCCAGCCCCAGTCATGCTCTAAGTAAACTCATGTTCTAACTACAGGGACCCTGGCACCTGCGTTTACCGGACAGTCTCCTGAGCTAGAAACTTTGTTCGATTAATATTTTAAAAACATATATATATATTTTTATTTATTCAGAGAGGAAGGGAGAGGGAGAGAAAGAAAAACATCAATTATGAGACAGAATCATTGGCCTTGAATTGTAATGTACATCCAGGGTGGGCAAAGTAGGTTTATAGTTGTGAGTACATGAAACACAGAGTTTATTCTTTTTTTTTTTTTAAAAAAGATATATTTTATTGATTTTTTTACAGAGAGGAAGAGAGAGGGATAGAGAGTTAGAAACATCGATGAGAGAGAAACATCGATCAGCTGCCTCCTGCACACCCCCTTCTGGGGATGTGCCCGCCACCAAGGTACATGCCTTTGACCGGAATCGAACCTGGGACCCTTCAGTCTGCAGGCCGATGCTCTATCCACTGAGCCACACCGGTTTCAGCAGAGAGTTTATTCTTAAATTCTTAGTTGTTAATTATTGTATTATAATTAATAATAATAATAATTCTCTTTTTTCCTCTAATTTTTTTCTTCTTTCCCCATTTTAATTTTTCTTTCTCTCCCCATTTTTTATTTTTAAAAAATAGTTCTTTATTATTGAAAGTATTACATATATCACCCCTTCCGCCCCCCCCCCCCCATTGACCCTCTTCAGCCTGCCCCACCCCTTTCCCCAGTCCTCACTGCCTTATTATCTATGTCCATGTAGGAGTCCTATTTAAAAAAAACAATAGTCCCTTTTCTATTACATATTACTGCCCCATTTTTCCCAGTGCAAGATTTATTTATGTTTTGAAAATTTGTGGATTTCTCCCTCCCAGAATATTTGCTTTTACTTAAATACATTTTATCAACCTTTCTTTGATGGCTTTCGGGTTTTCTGTTATACTTAGAGATGTTCTTCACTACTGTAAGATTATTTTTAAAAATTCTCCTGTCTTATCTTAGTATTTTAATTTTAAGGATTTAATCTTTGATCCATCTGCAGTATATTTTGATGTAAGGAGTTCAGTTAGGATTCAGCTGTCCCAGAAGTCTACCCATTTGTTGGAACACCATGTGTTTAAAAAGCCACCTAACTGTGAAGAGCCTTTTTTTTTTTGGTGATGTGTTTGATTGGGCCATTTTTCATTGTTAACTTCTAATTAACATGTTAATTTATAATTTCATTGTTAACGTCTAATAGCCAGAGAACATAGGCTATATTATTTCTGCTTTTTGGAAATCTATTAGAATTTTCCTTGCGGACAGGGTTTTTTCTGTTTGTTTGTTTTTTGTTTGTTTTTTCAAGTTTCAAAAGGACTTAATTTATTTTTAATTTTTAAAAACTTTTTTGGGGCTTCTTTTTCTTTTCTTTCATTTTTATTAAGGTATTATATGTGTACATTTATAATCTTGACCCCTTCCCCTTTTTAAAAAAATATTTTTTATTGATTTTTTTTTACAGAGAGGAGAGGAGAGGAATAGAGGGTTAGAAACATTTATGAGAAACATCCATCACCCTATTGGGGATGTGCCTACAATCAAGGTACATGCCCTTGACCAGAATTGAACCTGGGACCCTTCAGTCCTCAGGCCGATGTTCTATCCACTAAGTCAACCGGTTAGGGCTGTGGACAGGGTTTGTGATTGTTAAGTGTGTGTGTGTGGGGGAGGGGATGTGTATACACCTGAATATGCAGCCTGATCCTAATTTTTGTATAAATGTGTGTGTGTGTGTGTGTGTGTTGTATGTAATGATAACTGGACCATATTATAACCGTTTTTAAAATTTCACCAAAAAACCCCACTGGTTTTATAATCAAAGTGCAGATAGGAAGGTGATTTTTAAAAGGCTCACAGTCTTTTTAGTCAGTTAAAAAAAAAAAAAGTAAAACTTACTGTAAGGGCCACCAACGGAGGAATGCATGAGGCCAAAGTGGTTCTGGATTATAAATTTATTAATTCATCTGGATACCAGATAGGCTGTGCCCCCAGGTGGAGCCAGCACCCAAAGATGGGAGCCAAAGGTTTTTTTTGTTTTGTTTTGTTTTTAATATATTTTATTGATTTTTTACAGAGAGAGGGATAGATAGTTAGAAACATCAATGAGAGAGAATCATCCATCAGCTGCCTCTTGCACACCCCCTACTGGGGATGTGCCCACAACCAAGGTACGTGCCCTTGACCAGAATCGAACCAGGGACTTTTCAGTCCGCAGACCGACGCTCTATCCACTGAGCCAAACCGGTTTGGCAGCCAAAGGTTTTTAAGGGACTGGGTGGGCAGAGAATTCTCTGTGCAGGTCTGGATCCTGGGAAGGACTGCAGGGAAGAGGTGACGGTCTTTAGCGAGTGGAATGTCTGTTGTGAATGTGGCCTAAAGGTCAGTTTCCAGAGGAGGGGGGGAATGATTCAATTATTTGATCAGACCTAACACTTACCTTCATGTGCAAATCAAAAGTATTTCTATTTTAATATCATATGTACAGAATATATGGATCCTGGTTCACTACCTTTGCTTAATACCTCTGAGTGTAATCAGGATTTGCATTTTCATCCAAGAATATTAGTAAAATACAGGGAGCTTAAAGAGCCAGGAACCATCTGCTTTGCTTTAGGAAGGAAAGGAGTCCAAACAGGTCAAGGTTACTTGAGGTCAAGGAACGTGCTGAAGGCACAGAGTCTGTAGGATCGAGGGGATGACGGAGCCGGTTGGAAAGTTCAAGGTTTCCTAGTCCAAGATTCTCACACAGCAGCTCTCCAGGCACCTCTGAAGGCAAGGGAGAGTCTGAGTGAGACTTCAACAAAGCCTTCTTCTGCTTTGCAGAGAGTTGGAGAACCACTGCTTCCAAGTATTTATAGTTCCTACTGCACCCTGATCACAACTCTTCTGACCACTGGCTAGTTTATATAATAGATCGACCACCCCAAACAGTAAGCTACTTGAGAGCAGGAGCTTGTTTGTTTTTTTCTTCCCTGTACCTACAGCAAAATGTCTGACGTGTATGGCAAATGCCATAGCATTTGACGAGGGAACCAACCAGGTATTGGTACTTTTCTTCCTCATCATAATGTTGTGTGTTGACCTAGGCTACAGCTACCTTTGACTAACACGGACGAGCATGAGTTTCAGCAGCTGTCTGTATGAAATTGGGGAAGCGCTGAACAGCTATGAGGTGGCCGCGCTCAAGTTCCTGAGCCTGGACTACATCCCACCAAGGAAGCAGGAGCCCATCAAGGACGCCTTGATGCTCTTCGAGAAACTCCAGGAGAAGAGAATGCTGGAGGAAAGCAACTTGTCTTTCCTGAGGGAGCTGCTATTCCGAATCGACAGGCTGGATCTGCTGGAAAAGGGCCTGAAGACCAGCAAGGAGGAGATGCAGAAGGAGCTTCAGATCCCGGGCCGGGCTCAGATCTCTGCGTACAGGTGGGGGCCATCTCGCAGGCTCAGCACGGGAAGTGGGGGGGGGGGGGGAGCGGACACATCTCTGTGGGAGAGTTAATTGCAGGTTGTTAGTGTAGAATGACTTTGGAGGCTGTGGGAAGATGGCTTCTTATTTCCAGATGAAGAAATGTGGAGACCTGATGTAGAATTCAGGAAGGAAAAAAAAAAAAAAAAAAAGCTCAAACCATAAAATAAAATTGTAAAGTGAAACATTACCTGCAAGTATGCTGCCATTAAAATAGACCTTTTCTAAATGTTCTAACTCTCTTTCTGTGTCTGTTGTCTTGGTATTTCTGTTTTCTTGATGCCCACATTATGTGCTTACTTTTTATATATGTACTTTTTATATATATAAAAGCACAAGCCACCAGTTGACCAGTCACTACGATGATGTGCACTGACCACCCGGGGGCAGACACTCAATGCAGGAGCTGCCCCCAGGTGGTCTGTGCGCTCCCACAATGGGCAAGCTTAATGCACAGTTGGGCGGGATGAGTGGGAGTGGCGTGGTGCCAGGCCAGGGTTTGGGCTCCTCCCCAAGCCACCTGCCATGGCCCTATCCCCGCAGGCCATGCCAAGGAACCCCACTAGAGTATTCGTGCACTGGGCCTCTAGTTTTAGATATCGCGTCACTACTTTTTACCCAAAATCCTCTCGCCACTCACTTGTGGATGACTGGAAATTCTCAATGGAGAATTTCTCACACTTGCATTATAGAATCCTCCAATGAGGGACATGCTGCCAGGCGTTCCAGGGGCCAGGCCAGAGCCCTCAGAGACTGCTTAGCCGGCGTGAGGCCTGCTGCTGCTCAGAGAATGACGCTGACGTGGGTGTCAATCCTGCTGCCAAAGGCCTTGCATCTCAGCCCATCCCCACCCGTGGGAGACTCGGGTAACTTAGGGTGATAAGTCACTTCCTGTTACATCTTTGTGATTCTCAAAACCTAAAAAATAGAAACACATTACCTACTTCTCTCTCTCTCTCTCTCTCTCTCTCTCTCTCTCTCTCTCTCTCTCTTAATATATTTTATTGATTTTTTACAGAGAGGGATAGAGAGTTAGAAACATCGATCAGCTGCCTCTTGCACACCCCCTACTGGGGATGTGCCTGCAACCAAGATACATGCCCTTGACCGGAATCAAACCTGGGACCTTTCAGGCCACAGGCCAACGCTCTATCCTCTGAGCCAAACCGGTTTTGGCCTTACTTCTCTTTTTTAAAAATCCTCTGTTCTCGATAGCCTTCGTCTTGTAGAATCATCAATCTAACCCCTCTCTCCATTCTTCCTTTTGTGTCTGTTGTCTGAATCTCCCTCTTCCTGTAAGGACCCAGTCATTGAATTAGGACCCACTCGAATCCAATATGACCTAATTTTAACGAGATCACAACAGAGAGACCTTTTTAAAATAAGGTCACATGGATGTGTTCTGGGTGAACATGAGTTGGGAAGGAGGACACTATTCAATACTGGGAACTTTGGTTTTAATAGGATTGAGAAGTTCCTTTAAAGAATCTTTAAACACCAATTAATCCTAAAAAGCAACATCCCCCAAACTAGGACCTGGAAGGTCTCAGCTTGTGCCCACCATCTTGGTCTTCTGGAGGCTGTTAGCTGAGACAACCCGCCCGTGCCAGACATGGCCTGTCCCTCCTATAGGGTCAAGGGTCCCTGCCAAGGGCAGGATCTGTCTGTTAAAATATTCAACATGCTAGTTTGGGAGTGGGGGTGTGTGTGTGGAGCCAGCACAAGTATAAGCTACTGCTTCTTCATTGTTTATCATTAGCCAGTAAATAAAAAATACATGTGTGATCACTTTCCATTTATAAGAAAACACTAGACATTTAAAATGTCAAAGTAGAACTGCTACCTAAATATAACCTATCCAGGTTTATTTGTAGACAGAGATGGTACAAGAAAGCTAGTAGGTTTCAATATGAGGAAAGTAAAAGGGAAAAATACCTGGTAGTAAAGTTAAAAGGGACAGTGGCTATAGATTGGACCCAATCTTGGCCCAAGCGAGAAAGCTTTAGCAAAATACTCCTAGGGTAGAGGTTCCACGAGAAGGATGAAGCAGATGATAATACTACTTTTATTTTCAGGACTTTAATTTTCTAATTTAACTTTGAGGTTAATGTGTTTTTGCATTAAAGTTGTTTCCTTTACAACATAATAATGAAAGTTGGATGACTTATAAAACATTCCTCTTCTCATTGAACAAGCATATCCCCAAATCCTACCATAGGTTAGGAAATAATAGTGCTGTGTGTCGAGCACTTAGTGCGTTGCCAACAACTGGTTTGAGGACGGCAGGTAAACTTATTCATGTAACCCCCAACACGGTCCAACGAGCAGACCCAGAGGCATCTGCGGTCCACAATGAAGACAAACGTGTGTAACGTGTCTGAAGTCACACAGCTCGCAAGTGGTGGGACCCAACATCCTTAGTCTGGGTTCCAACATCCTTAGTCTGGGTCCCCCTGCATTTAAACACTCTCCCTCACATCCCTCCGAGCTTATGGGATCAAACCGGGCCTGGGCCCTTCTCTCAGGGGATTTAGAGAGCTTGATAAACAGAGGATTTATTTGTTCATCTTTGGGCGACACAAAGGCGCAGAGGGTGAATGCACTCAGGCTGTGCTTGAGCTGTTAGTGGATGAGTGGTTGTCTAAAGAGAGACAAGGGAGCAGGGGTGTGGTTGGGGGCTAGGCACAAAGGGGTGAGGGGCAGGGCAGCTGGGTGTGCTCAGAGAAGAGACAGTGGGAGGTGGTGAGGAGTGACCAAGATGAGGGGTTAGGCTGGGCTCAACTCACAGAGGTTCTGAGTGTCTGACCTTCCTACGGAAGGCGATGGCTGGGAACCCTGACACGTTCTAATTAGGAAGCGATGATCGGATTTGCATTTTGAAAAACGTCATTTCCAAAATCAAAGCTTTCTTGTTGCAACGAGATCTCGAAGTTATAGTGAAGACGACGGGAAACCACAATTTGTGGAACTGACATGAATTGAAGGACAGTTGGTTCAATTCTGTGTAGGCTGGATGGTGGGGCATGAGGCAGTGGTCTTCTGTGTCACTATGCCAGCCCCTCCCCAAGAATTCAGCTCCCACCCCTGCCACGAGCTGGCTTTCTGTGGAAGGGAGGCCATGGGAAGCCTGCCTTCTGGGGCGCCTTGTATCATGGGAGGAATTATTTAAAAAAGCGTTTCTCAAGTGTCTCCGTTTCCCACTGCAGGGTCATGCTTTTCCAGATTTCAGAAGACGTAACTGCACAGGAATTGAAGGACTTTAAGTTTTTTTTGAACCAGGAGCTCTCCAGATACAAACTGGCAGAAAGCATGGTAAGACCTGGTGTCATGCCAGGATCCAGTCCCGGGAAAGAGCCGGCCGGTGGGCATCGCTGAGGCTGAAGCGGGGGCTACTCCGGGAAAAGCAGCCCGATTCTCACCTTTTAGCCCGGGCTGAAGAAGAAGATGTGACCCCTTTGTATGCTCCGAAGTGCTCCTCACAGTAATGACCAGGAGCAAGGCAGTGTCAGGAGAAGAGAAGAGGGTTGTGGGACTCGGCAGAGCCACGAGAGACAGGTGTTTGTGTCTGATGTGGTTTTGTGTGTCTAATGTGTGTGCATGTGTGTTCATATGTGTGTGAGGTGTTTCTGGATGTGTGCATATCTGTGTTCATGTGGTGTGCTGCAGGGTTTGTGTGTGTGTGTGTGTGTGTGTGTGTGTGTGTGTGTGTCTGGTGTGGTATATGCGTGTGTGTGTGTGTGTGTGTGTGTGTGTGTGTGTGTGTGTGTAACACTAGAGGAAATGTTGGGTGTGAGGCAGTTCCCAGGCTGTCACCATGGGGGCCATGGCTGTCTCAGCGTGCACCTCTGGCTGTTTCACACAAAGGCGTCACAGGTGGTTTTAGCGCAGGGCCCAGGTCCTGGGGAGTGATATTGTGACTCCTCTGTCTTCTCTACTTCTGGGCAGAAAACACGGAAGTGCCTTGCTAGCAGTATATTGGCTTGGAAAGACCAGGCTGTCCTCTCAGGAGAGTCTGCTTGGGAAGCGAGGGTGGTCCCTTGGGTTGGAGAAAGGGCACGTAAAAACAAATCTAATCTAAAAGTCAATATGGCCCAATTCCGTCTTCCAACTTTATGTCTCCTCCTTCTAGAGCTTGCTTGATATTTTCATGGAGATGGAGAAGAGACTCATCCTTGGGGAAAGAAATTTGGACACCCTAAAAAAAATCTGTAGACAAATCAACCTGAGCCTGCTGGATAAAATCAGTGCTTATGAAGAATTAAGTAAAGGTAGAAACAACCTCACAGTTGTGAACCAGCAAAATGTATTAAAAAATATATTTTTATTGATTTTTTTACAGAGTGGAAGGAAGAAGGATAGAGAGAAACTTTGATGAGAGAGAAACATCAATTAGCTGCCTCCTGCACACTCCCTACTGGGGATATGCCCACAACCAAGGCACATGCCCTTGACTGGAATCGAACCTGGGACCCTTCAGTCCGCAGTCCGACGCTCTATCCACTGAGCCAAACCAGTTTCGGCTGATTAAATTGTTTTTTTCTTAATAGATATTTTTTATTGATTTCAATGAGAAAGGGAAAAGGAAAGAGAGAATCTTTGATCAGCTGCCTCTTATATCCCCCCCCCCTACACACACACTGGGGATCCAGCCCGAAACCTGTGCATGTACCCTGACCAAGAATCGAACTGTGACCTCTTGGTTCACAGATTGATGCTCAGTCATTGAGCCACGCAGGCTGGGCAGGGAGTTGTGTTTTGTTGTTGTTTTTTTAATCTTAACCTCTTAACAGAAGTCCAGGTGAATTTTGAAGTGGTGGTACCTGGAGATGTTTTCAAGACTTATTTAACTAATTTACTCTTAGATATTTTCATTGCTTCCTCTCTACAACCCCCTACCATCCATGTCCACATCTTAATGGACCTGCCGTCAAGTACTGGGACGAGGGCTGGGTGGCTACTTCTTGTCACCTCTGCTCTACCCACTAAAAGATGTGTCTAGAGACACAAACTATGCGGCCTCAGGCCCGCCAGCCTGAAACAGACGCTGAGTTATTCAGCGGTAAGAATGGGACTTATTCTGTGGATTGTAAGGATATGAATTTTCCTGTTAGAAGGGACTTATGTTATCCCAGGTGTTGCATGTTTTTTGACTGAGGTGCCTTCTCTGCCACGTGTCGTTCCCTGCAGAGGGAGGGTCAATTTCAGACTATCCTCGAGAGCAGGAGAGTGAGCCCCAGGAACAAAACTGTGAGTCGCCGCGGGAGCAGAACTGTGGGCCCCGGGAGCAGGACACTGAGTCCCGGGAGCAGAACTGTGGGCCCCGGGAGCAGGACACTGAGTCCCGGGAGCAGGACTGTGAGCCACCGCAGGTATGAGGAAACCTCCCACCACTTCTTCTCTTTGCATTACAGGTCCTCCTTAGAGTATTCCTTAGCTTTTGTAGCTTCCCGATAAACTAGTAAGGAGAAGAAACATGGTCACTATTTTGAAGACTAGAGAAAACATTCACAGAACGACAAGCTTCAAGTGTGACCTTTTAACATAAAGAAAACGTTATTTCGGGTTAAATGTTTATTTTAAAACCAAAGACAAAGACCCTGAAACTGTTGGAGCAGAGGGGTGAGAAGGCCCCAGCTGGGCTCTTTCAGCAGCCGCAGCAGCCCAAAGGCAGAGCCCAGCAGGACTGGGGAGAGCAAAGCCGTTTCCTTTAACTTGACATCTCAAAACGGTTTCTCCTTGGTGACCGGGTGCAAGTGGCAAACGTGCGTGATCTAGCCATCTCTGTGTTCTCACCCCAGAGAGCCAGCCCAGGAATGGATTTCTAGACATAAGCACTCCTGCGTGTGTAACCCTCAGCGACCCACCGAACCCATTCTGACTCATAGCCCAGTCACGCCTCTCTGTGGAGGGGAGCAGAGGAAACCCTGAACGCCAGGAGTCCAGCGGGAGACTTAAAATTAAGCCTAGAGGACAAGTTACCGGTGGGCTCCTGAACAAGTTACCGGACCCCTTTCAGTCTGAAAATCAAGGATTATTTGTCAGGGAGCACACAGTAGAGTAAAGCACTCTACAGGCATTGCCCCAAGAGCAGCTAAGGATCCTGGGTGCAAGAGAGATTGGATAACTTGCTCAAGGTTTTAAGGTTATTAAGTACTAGAGGCCTAGTGCACAAAATTCATGCACTGGTGTGTGTGTGTGTGGGGGGGGAGGTCCTCAGCCTGGCCTGCACCCTCTTGCAGTCTGGGACCCCCTCGCTCCTTACCTCCTGCCTGCTCACTCCTTACCGCTGCCATGGAGGTGGGAGAGGCTCCCATCACCACCGCTGTGCTTGCCAGCCATGAGCCTGGCTTCTCAGTGAGCAGCATGCCCCCTTGTGGAAGTGCACTGACCATGAGGGGACAGCTCCTGCATCGAGTGTCTGCCCCTTGGTGGTCAGTGCACATCACAGTGACTGGTCATTCCAGTTGTTTCACTGTAAAGGTGCTTACACATTTATTATACAGATGGAACTACCTGAGAGTCAGTGTGCCCACATGAGGGGTCCTGGATTGTAAGAGGGTGTAGGCCAGGCTGAGGGACCCACCAGTGCATGTCAGGGCCAGGGAGGGATGCGGGATGTTGGCCAGCCAGAGAGGGACCGTGGGAGGGATCCAGGGCATGTCCGGCTTATCTTGCTCAGTCCTGATCAGCCAGACCCCAGCAGCAAGCCTACCTAACTGGTTGGAGTGTCTGTCCCCTGATGGTCAGTGCACATCATAGTGAGCATTTGAGTGGCCTTAGCATATCATTAGCATATTACGCCTTGATTGGCTGAACCGACATCCAGACGACTGGACACTTAGCATATTAGGCTTATATTATATAGGATACAGCCAAGAATCCCTCACACCTCCAAACCAACCTCCCCACCCCAGCTGGGAACCCCTTTCTCTACTGGAAAGGAGCTGCATGGATTTCTCAATAAATGTTGGATATCTTTGCACTGAAACAGCTCTGAAAAAATAAGGCCAGCCCAGGGCTACCACTGACGGGTAATGTCAGGTTCTAGAGTCTGGAAACTGACCTGCAATAGCCAAGATCTGCCTGCCCAGTGCATCTCTAGCCCCCTGTCCCTGTGGTCCTGAGAACCAGATTAATCCATCAGCTTTAACAGTCTGGGGACTCACTGTTATATGTGAAGGGCAGACCCTCAGCCGTTTGCCCAAAAACAGGGGTGAGTTGATCAGACAGCCATGGAAATCACAGAGTCATGGAAGGGCAGACCAGAGACAGCCCTGAGATGTTCATTCATTGAACAACTCCTGCTTGAGTTCTCACAAATGATTGAGTCCTGGTTCCTGACTCAGATGTCATCTGCCTTGAGCAGAGATGAGGACAAATAACACATTATGATGACAATACAAATGTAAGTGCAAGGTGCTCAGGAGGCCCAAGTACTGGGACATTAACTAGACACACTGCAGGTGGGGCAAGAGTCCGGGATCCTGTGTGAGGAGAAAGGAGCCATCTTGTTAGGCAAACAATGTCAGCTTGGGTGGGAGTCACTGAACGAGCCCACTCTGGCTCAGGGGCCAGCCGAACCTTGGACCAGGGAGTTGCTTGTCAACATCTCAAGTGTTTGACCCTCAGTGTCAGCTCCTGGGTTGTGTTTTTGTTTTTCAGACAGCGGACAAAGTTTACCGAATGAAAAGCAAACCTCGAGGATACTGTGTGATCTTTAATAATTATGATTTTAGCAAAGCACGGGAGAACGTGCCCAAACTTCACAAAATAAAGGATAGAGATGGAACAGACTTTGATGAAGGTACAGTAGAATCCAAAAGATATATAAAATATTTCTTTTTAAAAAAAAATATATATTTTATTGATTTTTTTACAGAGAGGAAGGGAGAGGGATAGAAAGCCAGAGACATTGATGAGAGAGGAACATCAATCAGCTGCCTCCTGCATACTCCCTACTGGGTATATGCCCGCAACCAAGATGCATGCCCTTGACCGGAATCAAACCTGGGACCCTTGAGTCCGCAGGCCGACGCTCTAGCCATTGAGCCAAACTGGTTTCGGCAACAAATATATATAAAATATTTCTAACTAGAGGCTCTGTGCACAAAATTTGTGCACTCGGGATGGGGGAGGAATCCCCTCAGCCTGGCCTACGCCCTCTCACAGTCTGGGACCCCTTTCTCCTTACCACCCGCCTGTTCACTGCTCCTTACTGCTGCCAAAGAGGTGGGAGAGACTCCTGTCACTGCCACTGCGCTCGCCAGCCATGAGTCTGGCTTCTGGCTGAGCAGAGGGAGCACACTGACCACCAGGAGGCAGCTCCTGCATTGAGTATCTGCCTCCCAGTGGTCAGTGCTCATCATACCTACCAGCCATCCAGCCAGTCAGTAGGTTGGACAGTCACTTAGCCTTTTATATTCGTGCATGGAAGAGTGTGTCCCTCAGCCCAGCCTGCACCCTCTCCAATCTGGGACCCCTCGAAGGATGTCCGACTGAACCTACTGGGATTGGGTCTAAATGGTCAGTCCCTCTAGGACTGCTGGCTCCCAACTTCTTGCCTGCCTGTCTTCATGACTGCCCCTAACCACTTCTACCTGCCAGCCTGATCACCCTCTAGCTACTCCCCTGCCAGCCAGATTGATGCCTAACTGCTCCCCTGCCAGCCTGATTGCCCCTAACTGCCCTCCTTTGCAGGCCTGGTCACCCTTATCTGCCCTCCCATGAAGGCCTGGTTCCCCCCCAAACTGCCCTTCCCTGCAGGCCCAGTCACCCCCAACTTCCCTTCTCTGCAGGCCTGGTCCCTTCCAACTGACCTCCCCTGCTGACCTGGTCCCTCTCAACTGCCCTCCTCTGATGGCCATCTTGTGGCAGCCATATTGTGTCCACATGGAGGCAGCCATCTTGTGTGTGGGAGTGACTGTCAATTTGCATATTACTCTTTTATTAGATAGGATAGAGGCCTGATGCATGGGTGGGGGCTGGCTGTTAAGCCCTGAAGTGTCCCAGATCAGGATGAGGGTTCCCTTGGGGTGGCCTGGGTGAGGGGACTGTGGTGGTTTGCAGGATGGCCACACACCTTCGATGACCCAAGCAGAGACCCTGGTATCTGGGATTTATTTTCTTCTGTAATTGAAACTTTGTAGCCTTGAGTGGAGGCCAGGGCTGGCCAGGAAGCTTGGCTTCCTCCATTGCCAGGGAAACCCAAGCCTCGTGCTTGCTCTGTGGCTGCAGCCATTTTTGTTGGTATTTATTTATCTTCTATAATTGAAACTTCGTAGCCTTGAGTGGAGGCCAGGGCCAGCCAGGGTGTGTGGGAAGCTTGGCTTCCTCCATTGCCGGTGAAACCCAAGCCTTCTGCTTGCTCTGTGGCTGCAGCCATCTTGGTTAGGTTAATTTGCATACTCACCCCTGATTGGCTGGTGGGTGTGGCTTGTGGGCATAGCAAAGGTATGGTCAATTTGCATGTTTCTCTTTTATTAGTGTAGATTAGGGGTGTCGAACTCAATCAGAGAAGGGGCCAAAATCTAAAATCCAGCCTAAATCGCGGGCCGAATGGTTTACTGAACAGTCATAAACTGTCATTGTGATGGAAACGCAGCGGAGTGCAGTGATGGCAGCGCGGTGCGGGCCACATTGCAAGGCCTGGCGGGACGGATTTGGCCCGCGGGCCTTGTGTTTGACACATGTGGTATAGATAGATGATGCTGTATTGAATACTAGACATATATATGCTAGGCATGTATTTCAGGTGCTCTCATCACACATACACATACTCACCGTAACTATGTGTGGAGATATGTTATTAGCTTGTCTATTGTAATCATCTCACTGTGTATATCATCATATTGTACACCTTGAATATATACAATTTTTTATTAAAAAATAAATAAGACAGGCAGCCTAGTCAGTGTTGAAAGACTGGCTAGATCTATGAACACATTTGAGGGAAAAGTAGTGTTAAGCACATAGAAAACAAAGCAATAAAAATTAGTGCAATTACTAATTCCAGGAAAGACAAAAGTTTCATAAGAAAGGAAGCACAGGACTTTTCAAGATGGCAGCAGAGTAGGTGGATCTTGCTCTCACCTCCTCCCAGATCCCAATTGGGAAGACAACTAAATTGGGGAGTGATCCTCCTGAATTACCAACTAAAGACAATCTACAGAGGAGACTTATAACCAAGGGCTGGCAGGAGGTGGGGGGATGTGAAGGGGTGGCTGAGGTTAAAGGGATAGGATCAGCTTCAAGAGGCTCCCCCTGAGGGGCGTAAAGCCTAAATCCCAGGTGTGGCTCCCCAGACCAGAGCGCCAGAGCTGGGAGCAGGTGCCCACATAGCATCTGGCTGTGAGAAACGGCAGGGTTTCCGTCTGCCAAGGAGAGCCTTCTGGAGACAGAGGCACCCTGCAGTGTTTCCCAAACTTTTGACATATGTGTACCCCTTCTATAATTTTTGTAACGCTGAGTATCCCTCGTACTCATGAGAACGTAGAATTAGGCGCAGCTAAGCACGGTGCAACGCGTACCCCCACCAAACTCTTCCCGTACCCCTGGGGGTACGCGTACCATACTTTGGGAAACACTGTTCTAAAGGATCATTATGCAAAATTCTGTTGGCAGCCAGGCACTCACTCGGGCTCTGGCAGAGGGAGGCCAGTGCGAACTGTTGGCTGAGGAGAGTCTTGGGTGTGGTTTGGAAACATGGGAACCACTGCCAGGATGCCTGTCCCGAGTCATCCTGTGATACTGCAGCAGCCTTCTTTCTTGGGTCGGGCAATCAGCCTGGGGAAAAGCTGTTACCTCATCCTCAGGAATCCTTTTCACCAGACCCTGTGGATCTTAAGCCCTGCTGAGGAGTCAGCAGCATTGGCTGGAGCCAAGAAGTCTGGGAAAACTCAGGGGGTGTCAGTGACTGGCTTTGGGGTGGAATCATCCCCTTCCCCCCCCCACTTTCCCATGAACCAGACTGGCTCTTCCCTTTCATATAGGTAAAATTGTATACTTAACTATGCTCTAAGACAGATGTTGTAAATATCTAAGACAGAGCACTAAGTGAAGTATACAATTTTACCTATATGTTCCCAAAAATTCTAGTTTAGCACTTCTTAGTTGGGATTCAGGAATCTGTATTTTAACAACTCCACCAGGTGATTCTCATCATGAGAGAAGTTTGGGAAACACTGTTGTAGACTAGCTGGAATAAGGCAATGGCCAACAATAGTATTCTACTTTTGTTTATTGCCTCAGGACTGAGAAATTTTTTCCAGCTAGAATCTAGCCACTAATATAAAGGATCTTGTTCTTAAGTTCTGGTTCAAATTCTTATCAATGCTCTCTTTAGCTCTGGCAGTGGTCTGGGTACTGTTGGTGTAATATGACTTTTTGTATTTCACTTTTCAGAAGCTTTGAACAACATCTTTAGTGAGCTTCATTTTAAGGTAGTGCGTTACAAAGACGCCACAGCAAAGCAAATCTGTGAGATCCTGGAAAGCTACCAAAGCAAGGACCACAAAGACAAAGACTGCTTCATCTGCTGCATCCTTTCCCATGGAGACAAGGGCATCGTCTATGGCTGCGATGGGCAGGAAGCCCCCATCTATGAGCTGACCTCTTACTTCACTGGTTTGAAGTGCCCTTCCCTTGCAGGCAAACCAAAAATCTTTTTTATCCAGGCTTGTCAAGGGGATAACTTTCAGAAAGGCATAACTGTTGAGACCGACTCAGAAGAGAATGATGCTTATTTAGAAATGGACTCATATCAGAAGAGAAATATCCCAAATGAGGCTGACTTTCTGCTGGGGATGGCCACTGTGAACAACTGTGTTTCCTACCGAAGCACCGAAAAGGGGTCCTGGTATATCCAGTCACTGTGCCAGAGTCTGAGAGAAAGATGTCCTAGGTAATGCCTGTCTACTCAACCCTTCATTCACCTATACATGTCCAGCTGTGGGCCTCATAGCTGTACTTTCCTTTTCGGTTGCAAAGTGGGAAAGAGGACAAGTCTTAACATCTTTAGTCACAGATAGAAAAAAAACAGAGATACTTACTGAGAACTTCCCCTTTTTTAGCATCTCAAAGGACAGGCAGGGTGTCAGATGGCTGGGAAGGATGGTGAAGTCATAAAGTCTAGCTCTGTACTGGGGCAGAATCATGACCATGCCACCTTCACTAGAAAACATCTAAGAAGTCTTCCAAAAAGACAATGACCCATTTCAATGTGTACTATCCTCCAGCTAATCAAAAGTTCCATAATAGCTAACCGGCCTCAAACCTTCTTGGTGTATTGTGAGAGAAAAATGTGGAAGAGCAGAAACCCTTTATTGTTGTACTCATCTGGCCTGACTTAAACCCACAAAATGTAGGAAAATCGCCTTTCCTCATTTAAATATCCCACAATTCTTTTAGTTATATGAAGTTTTGTATGTCACAGTTCACCCAAAGGCACACACAATGGACAGATAGATAGCAAGGAATCTTCTGATGGGTTCCTTCTAGTTCAGTATTATTATGTTTAAAGTGTATAAAGAATGAGAATTTTCTATGGTGGATAAAGGAGTGAACCATAACATCAACACTATGTTTGCATTTTGCGATTCAGACCATGAATCTTGCAAGGTTGGGGTGGGGTTAGGGGCGGGCTATTTGCAGAGGTGCATGAACAGGTTGCCCAATTAAACTGGATAGCAAGGCTGGTGAGAAGGGTGGCTGGCTGCCGGAGACACTGGATTTTCACTTCCCATAGGTTTGATTCATCATGGATGAGTCCACAGAAGCAATGTCAATTTGGGGCAGAGGATGTTAGGGATTGAGGAGATGATGGGGGCAAGTAACATAGAACCTGGAATAGAATGAGGTACAAACAGATTAGGAGGGGAAGAAACCAAATCTCATGTTAACATTGAGGTTTCTGATGATCTACAGAGATCCTGAGATAAGTTATTAAGCTCTGAAAGGTCTTGGTTTAGCAACTTATTATTTCATCTGCTTGATGTTTCTTTTTAAATATTCTTTTTTTTTTTTATTAATTTCAGAGAGGAAGGGAGAGGGAGAGAGAGATAGAAGCATCAATGATAAGAGAGAACCAAAGATTGGCTGCTTCTTGCACGTCCACTACTGGGGATGGAGCCCTCAACCCAGGCATGTGCTCTGACCGGGAGTCAAACTGTGACCTCCTGGTTTATAAGTCAATGCTCAACCACTGAGCCACGCCAGCTGGGCTCTCCTGACGTTTTGAGAGAAATAGCTAGCATAAGCACAGCAGATGGATGGGTTTACCAGTGCTTTCCCCTCACAGATGGTCACAGTGCTGTGTTCTGTTTTACAGGGGTGATGACATTCTCACCATCCTCACTGAGGTAAACTTTGAAGTGAGCAGTAAGGACGACAAGAGGAATATGGGGAAGCAGATGCCACAACCCACTTTCACTCTGAGAAAAAAACTCTACTTCCCCCTTGATTGATCTATAACACTATGCTTAATTTTTGTAATATTATGCTTTTACTTTATCCTATCATTTATTTGCATAACACTATGCTTAATTTAATTGTTAATAAGATGCTGCTTCCCCCTCCCCCATTTATTTTATGTTGTTAATCCTCACCTGAGGATATTTTCCCCTTTTCGATGGGTTGCTTCCTGTAAGCCCCAAGGTACGTGCCCTTGACCAAATTGAACCTGGGATCACCCCCCAGTTTTTGAAGGCAGAGAGGGGAGAGAATGGGAGTCAATACAATTTAATTTTTAGGCAAATTGAAGCCTAAATTTCTGGCTTTGCAACAATAGCCATAAGCATGATTTTAATTGTATTTTTAATTTGATAAAATAGTTTTTAAAACTATAGTAGATACAAAGTATCTACATTACAATGGTTCAAAAACAGTAGCAGAATGTACTCCACACATCTCTGATCTGCTTTCAACTCCAAATCATTTAATTCTCTTCGAATCAGCGGTTGTCACCTAGTAGTCAGTCCGTGGACCCCTGATGGTCCGTGAGGTCCAAAAGGTTGGTGATCTCTGCTTCAAATTGTTAAGAATTGTGCTCCGTGGATGGAGCACGGCCTGTGGACTGGAGAGTCTCAGGTTTGATTCTGGTCAGGGGGTGTGCAGGAGGCAGCTGATCAATGATTCTCTCTCATCATTAATGTTTTTCTCTCTCTCTTTCTCTCCAGCCAATAAAAATATTTTTTTAAAAAAAGAATGGTTTTGTGTTGTACTTTCTAAGCCATCCTCCACACTACAATTATATGTAAGGAAAAATTTTCCTTTTTATTCACCCAGGTTCTTTGACTTTTCTACTAATTAAAATGATGTAAGCTAAATTAACAGTAGAAAAATAAAATTAACTCTCATACATGCTCATAGAAATATGAGACACACAAAAAAGACAAAATCAGGCAGATTTTATATCTTTCAGACAAAATAACAATAAATTTGAGAAGAATTTACAAAACAAAGAAGTTTGGGTTCAATTAGTAAAGAAATAACAAGTTTTGTTGACACTGCCTTGTTGGCCATGAATCCCTGTCTGATAATATTGGTGCCTTCTACCCTCTTCATATGGGGCGGGAAGGGGGTGCAGAAGGAATGTCTTTCACATGGGAGATTCATTTCTGACTTTCAGGGGGATAAAACGTGGTCAGAGAGTCCATCTCCTACTGGCTGTGTCTCAAGTAATTTTCATTCAAAGTAATATGCCCTGAATTGCACTGCTGTTTTTTTTAAAATACAAATTTGAAAATATTATTTCTTGCACTAAAAGCTTTTAAAAACTCAAAATGGTTTTACAAATCTGTTACAATCTGTTCCCAAATTCCCTTTTCAGCCTTTTCTCTTATTGCTCTTGGAGTATATGCATTCTTCTATACATGCTTGATTTGCTTTTTTGATAGCATTGCTGTGCTTTAGTCATGTTTTTAAAATTATAATCTCATTTGAAATACTCAGGAATTATCTGTTTTTAAAAGCTAATTAGGTGTGTTTGTGTGTTTAAATTAGTTTTTCAAATGTACTTCTAATAAAATATAACTTAACCTTGCTGTTCACAGGAGATAGCTTTGCTTGCTTTGTTTTTTTGCCAATGGCATCTCACAGGTGAAAAACATTTGAATCACAGATACATTTTACTTGAACCTCCCAATGTTGGCTCACACAGTTGTATTTTTAAAAAATGTGTTGCTCAGCCCTAGCTGGTTTGGCTCAGTTGATAGAGCATCGGCCTGTGGACTGAAGGTTCAAGGGTACAAGCCTTTGCAGGCTTGATCCCCAATAAGAGGCATGCAGGAGGCAGCCAATCAATGATTCTCTCTCATCATTGATGTTTCTATTTCCCTCTCCCTTCCTCTCTGAAATCAATATTTTTTTTAAAAAATGTGTTGTTAATATTTAAAAATTGGGAGATGTGATATAAAAATGAGAATACCTTCTCTAGAAAAATCAGAATATTTGATTCCATTAATTTCATGCTCCTGTATGGCAGCAATGGAATGGCTCTCTCAATGTTTCCCCTCTCTAGTCCCCTCTATTGAAGCTGCAGCCAATTACCAATTATCACTGTGATGATCGGATTGTTTTTCTTCATGTGCAGCCCATTTCACTTATTTACGTTGCCTGCACTGTGGCATTTGAATTCTAGCAATGGTTGCAGGGGTCTTCAAACTACGGCCCGTGGGCCACATGCAGCCCGCAGAGGAGTCTGATCCGGCCCACCAGGTTTTTTGGGCAGTGAGCGCAGCCGAGGTGTTACAGTAGGAATTAGTAGTTCATATAGTCCGGCCCTCCAGCTCTCTGAGGGACCGTGATCTGGCCCCCACTTTAAAAAGTTTGAGGACCCCTGGTAGAGCAGTGTTTCCCAAACTTCTCTCATGATAAGAATCACCTGGTAGAGTTGTTAAAATACAGATTTCTGAATCCCAACTAAGAAGTGCTAAACTAGAATTTTTGGGAACATATAGGTAAAATTGTATACTTAACTTAGTGCTCTGTCGTAGAGCACTAGTTAAATATACAAAGGTATACAAAAGTATACAATTGTATACTGAACTTAGTGCTCTGTCTTAGAGAAGTTTGGGAAACACGGGTTTAGAGAATCTGGCAAGAATTATCAGAACTCTTCCTAAATCACAGGTTAGGGAATGTGATTGAGAGGTGAGAGTGGGGACACATATGAAAAAGAAAGATTTTTGAAATCAAACCAATAATTTTTTTCTTGATAACTAAATGCCCAGGTATAGTCCAAATATAGTTAACATTTTATAGGAAGAAAATTTTCAGATCAATGTCTTCATAATAAAATCTGTAAAGGTGGAAGAGAAAATAGTACGTACACCCAGAGAAAGCTCAGCTCTAGCTACAGAGCATAACACTTCTCAATGAAAAGTCATGAAAAAATAAAATCTATGTAACTGAGATAAGAATTCAAACATTCCCAACCACTCAGAAGAAAGCAAATTGTGAAAAGATGAAATAGAATCAAGAACCCATCATATGCATTTCTCAAAAAAACTTCACAGGAGTGCTCTAGGCTTACAGAGATGGTATTCCTACCAACTCAGATGATGGAGAACAACCTTTCTGCTCATAATTCATGTCTTTTCTTGCTACCGTCTTCTGAAGTCTCAGAATCATCTTCATAAATAGTAATACAGGCTGACCTTCTAGATCGTTCTTCATAAGTTCCTCCATTCTTGGCATTTATCTTTTGCCTATAAAGAAAGAGAAAATGTATCACTATAGACTCAAAGAGTAGAGAGTAGGATATCTGGGGAGAGAGTGTGTGGTTTCATTCTTTCACTGGGAGCAATCTCTCTCAGTAGTTTTAAATTTAGTGAGATAGGATATGTGGGTGACCAAATGACCATGAAAGGAATTTTCCACTAAATCAACATATTAATAATAAATAAGTTCCCTTTATTAAAGTATTGATTGACATTTATTTCAATAATTTAAGATGTATCTTCAGGTTGCAGTTTAGTTTATGACCTAAAATTGATTTCCACAGGAACACAATGCAGCCACATCTAAAGGTAAACTACTAACATCTACATCCCTAAACTCTCAGGGGAGATGGATTTAAAAATAATCTTTAGTTTTTAAAATCCTGAATGCACTTAAAGAGTCTCAGATAAATAACATGTGTCATTTTGCTTAAAAACTAAAACACAGCATCATTTCAAACAAACTGGTTTTTTGTTGTTGTTGTTTTGGGGGGGGAACGGGGGAAGTGTAATTCAAGCCAGAATCCTATTAGTCTGTGGGCAGAGGCAGTCTCTGGAGGCTTTGAGTCTTTGCCTGATCCAATGAGTCAGAAACAGCCTTTAACATTGTCCTGTACTAGAGATTGCGAAGGGTAGAGGATCAAACCCAAAACAGATAGCCAAAATTAGGAGACAAAGGAATAATTCCCAAATGAAAGAGCTAGAAAATTCTCCAGAAGAAGAGATAAATGAAGCAGAGCTAAGAAATTTATCTGAAACAAGAATTCATAGTAATGAGGGTAAAATGCTCAACAGCATGAAAAAAGATATAGTAACTATCAAATGAACTGTTTGGTCACAGCAGGTAAATTCTGTGACCAGGCTTACAGTGAATATCTTCCTCCTGAAACTGCCTATACATTTGGGTCATTGTCTTTTTGGAAGTAATTTATAGCTTCTTTAGGAAACACCTGTGATCATCTTCACCTATTCCTCACCCAATCCCCTCCCCTTCCTAAAGATAAGTCAGCCATGTTTTTGCACCCCTTTCACACCTCAAATGAATGTTTTCTTCTCTCAGGAGCTGTATAGTGAATTTAAACTTCTCTTCAGCTTCAGCAAGCTTGGACTGGAATGTTTTCTCCAGATTTGCCGCTGCAGATTTCTGAAAGACATGTGCATTTTAATAGCTATCTTTTCCCAACCAGAGCTGTATGGCCGAGCTACACCAAGACCTGGGATCCTCCCCCAAATGCCCATCCCTACTCCAGCCAGGACTCACCTCCTTCTGGAGTTCCATTTGGGTTTGGTAGAGGGTGGTGTTCAGTGATTCTAGGATAACAGCTTGTGCATGCAACTCTTCCTCTATGACCTGTGTAAGAGGAAACTGTTTTGGATGTCTGCCCATTTATTCTCTTCTCTAGGTACCTGGACTAGAATGTTCAGCATCGACTTCCCTCCTCCTGTACCATTTAATCACTATGCCCTGTTAACCCTACCCCCTCCTTTTGTCTTCCCCATCTATACCCTCCCCTACAATCTCACTATCACTGCCCCAGTGCCAGTTCTCACCAGAGCTTAAATGGGTTGTCACAACAGCTAGCAATTATTCATCTATTAAACAAGTATTTATGAAATGTCTATGATAGATCCCAACTATATCACATTCTGGAAAAGGCAAAACTATAGTTAGTAAAAATATCAGTGATTGATAAGGGTTGGGAGGGAAAGGGAAGGACATATACTTGGAGAACAGAAGATATTTAGGTTAGAGAAACGATTTTATATGATGCTACATTGGTGACTATATAGCATTGTTGAAAAAACCAATAGAATGTACAACACAAATAATGAACCCTAATGTAAACTATGAACCTTAGTTAAAAATAATATATTAACAGTTTATCAGCTGTAACAAATGTAACACACCAATGCAAGGTATCAATAATAGAGAAAGTTGTGTGGGGATGGGGAATGCATGTGAAATCTCTGTACTTTCTGCTTAATTTTTCTGAAAACTTAACTGTTCTTAAAAAAAAAAGTCTGTTAATTAGAAATAAAAACCTACTATAGGAATGGGCTTTGAAGCAAGGTAGATCCAGTGTATTAGCTCTGGAATATTATGATGAGGAAGACAAATATAATTCCTACTCTTATGGGGGATACATTCTAGTGAGGAAAAGATAAAAAATTAAATAAAAGCAAACAAAATAATTACAGTAGTAGATTAAAAACAAATCTAGGATGAAGGTGGAGGACACAGTATAAGTGTGGGATTTACTTTAGAGAGATGAAGTAACTATAAAAATGAACCAGCCCTAGCCAGTTAGGCTCAGTAGATAAAGCGTCGGCCGGCAGACCAAAGGGTCCTGTGTTTGATTCAGGTCAAGGGCACATATCTTGGTTGCAGGCTTCTCTCTGGCCTGGGCCCTGGTTGAAGCTCATGCAGGAGGCAACTAATTTATAGCTAATCAATAGGCAAGCTTGGTAAAGTGGTTATAAGAATGCTCTGTGGCAATTGCCAGGGGGTGGAGGGTAAATGGAGATGGAGGAGGTTATAAGGAGATAAATAGCGATGGATGGAAACTACTTGGAGTGGTGAATGCACAATACTGTGTACAGACAATGCATTGTAGAAACGTGCACCTGAAACCTGTATAATTTTGTTAACCAGTGTCACCCCAATGCATTCAATAAAAACGGGGAGAAAAACAGTACCCGGAATCTATCTTGCTCCAAAACCCATTCCCTTACTTTGTAGGACATTGCAGTCTGTTTGCCTAACAATGAAGCCCTGCCTGGATGCTGAGGTATCATCCCATGCTTTCCTAATGGCTAATCATGTCCCACACATGTCCATTCTGGATCCAAACTGAATTTTCAGTGAAAGAAGAATCACAACGCACTTCGTGGGTCTGAACAGTTTCCCTTCAGGTAACTCGCACAGGGAAGTCTGAGGAGAGAGTTCCTTGAGGGGCTGGGGTGAGGTGGGCGATAATGAAAACTCCAAGTTTTAAAGAAAGGCTTGGAGTTAGACTTCCAAGGAGGCAGGATAGTACTTTCCAGAGGTTGAAGGAAAGAATCTGGCATTTTACTATTTAACCCTTTTGTGGTTTGAGTCATACTAGAAATGGAAGGCCTTTGACATTGAAGATTACACAGTATATTGCCCATATATTTGTTCAAACCAGGCTCTAAAAAGACACTAATGGATTTGTTGTACAGATAATTCTAAAATCCTTTTTGACTTACTGATTTTAGCAAACTCAGCTTTAGTTCTTCTGTGGGTTTTTTTGTGTGTTTTCTTTTTACCAGTTTTCTTTTTGGAATTATCATTGATTCCATTTTATTGAGAGTATATAATTTTATTGATTTTTTTAAGGCAAACATCTTTTTTATTAACTTTTTTCCATTTTTTTTAATTTAGGTATTATATGTTTGCATATCTTACCATTGCTCCCCCCCCCCCCCAATACCTGCCGTCCCTCCCCAGAGTTTTTCATCCATTGGTTATGCTTATATGCATGCATACAAATCCTTCGGTTGATCTCTTATCTTCCCCATATCTTCCTACCCTCCCCGCTGTAATTTGACAGTCTGCTTGTTGCTTTACTGTCTCTGTATCTATCTTTTTGTTCATCAGTTTATAATGTTCCTTATTATCAATAAATGAGTGAGATCATGTGGTGTTTTTCTTTCATTGACTGGCTTATTTCACTCAGCATAATGTTCTCCAATTCCATCCAGGTTGTAAATGATAAGAATCCCTTCTTTTTTATGGCAGCATAGTATTCCATTGTGTAGATGTACCATAGTTTTTGGATCCAATCATCTGCTGATGGGCACCTAGGCTGTTTCCAAATCCTAGCTATTGTAAATTGTGCTGCTATGAACATAGGGGTGCATATATCCTTTTTGATTGGTGTTTCTAGTTTCTTAGGATATATTCCTAGGAGTGGGATTACTGGGTCAAATGGGAGTTCCATTTTCAGTTTTTTGAGGAAACTCCATATTGTTCTCCACAGTGGTTGCACCAGTCTGCATTCCCACCAGCAGTGCACGAAGGTTCTTTTTTTTTCTGCATCCTTGCCAGCACTTGTCATTTGTTGACTTGTTGATATTAGCCATTCTGACAGGTGTGAGATGATATCACATTGTCGTTTTGATTTGCATCTCCCGGATAATTAGTGACTTTGAGCATGTTTTCATATGATTCTTAGTCTTCCTTCTGTCTTCTTTTGAAAATATTCTATTTAAGTCCATTGCCTATTTTTTAATTGGATCATTTATCTTCCTTTTATTTAGTTGTATAAGCTGTCTGTAGATGTTGGAGATTAAACCTTTATCAGTGATAACATTTGCAAATATGTTCTCCCATACAGTGGGCTTTCTTGTTGTTCTGTTGATGGTTTCTTTTGCTGTAAAAAAGCTTTTTATTTTGATGTAGTCCCATTTGTTTATTTTCTCTTTAGCTTCCATTGCCCTAGGGGCAGTATCGGTGAAGAAGAAGTTCTTTTGGCATATGTCTGAGATTTTTGCTGCCTGTGGATGCCGCTAGTATTTTTATGGTTTTCCGTCTTATGTTTAAGTCCTGTATCCATTTTGAATTTATTTTTGTGTATGGTGTAAGTTGGTGATCTAGTTTCATTTTTTTGCATGTATCTGTCCAGTTTTCCAAAAACCCTTTATTAAAGAGACTGTCTTGACTCCATTCTATGTTCATGCCTACTCTGTCAAATATTGAGTATAGAGGTTTGGTTCGATATCCGGATTCTCTATTCTATTCCATTGATATATATATCTGTTATTGTGCCAGTACCAGGCTGTTTTGAGAACAGTGGCTTTGTAATACAGCTTGAAATCTGGTATTGAGATCCCTCCTACTTTATTCTTCTTTCTCAGGATTGCTGTGGCTATTTGGGGTCTTTTTTTGTTCCAGATGAATTTTTGGAGAGTTCTTTCTAGGTCTATGAAGTATGCTGTTGGTATTTTAATGGGGAGTACATTGAACCTATAGATTGCTTTGGGAAGTATGGACATTTTGATGATGTTGATTCTACCAATCCATGAACATGGTATGTTCTTCCATCTGTTTACATCTTCCATCTTATATCTCTTTTTTCAGTGTCGTGTAGTTTTCTGCATATAGGTCTTTTACCTCCTTAGTTAAGTTTATTCCTAGGTATCTTTGTTTTTTTTTGGTGCAATGATAAATGGGATTGCTTTTTTAGTCTCTGTTTCTGTAAGTTCATTATTGGTGTATAGAAATGCCATAGATTTCTTGATGTTAATTTTGTATCATGCTACATTGCCAAATTCATTTATCAAGTCTATTAGTTTCTTGATGGAGTCTTTTGGGTTTTTTATGTGCAATATCATGTCATCTGCAAATAAGGACAATTTTACTTCTTCTTTTCCAACTTGGATGCCTTTTATTTCATCTTCTTATCTAATTGCAATGGCTAGTACTTCCAGTACTATGTCAAACAGGAGTAGTGAGAGTGGGCATCCCTGTCTTGTTCCTGTCCTCAGAGGAAATGGTTTTAGTTTTTGCCCATTGAGTATAATGTTTGCTGTGGGTTTATCATATATAGCTTTTATTATGTTGAGGTATGATCCTTCTATTCCCACCTTGTTGAAAGTTTTTATCAGGAAGGGTGTTGGATTTTATCAAATGCTTTTTCTGCAGCCATTGATGTGACTATATGATTTTTATCTCTCAATTTGCTTATGTGATGTGTCAAGCTTATTGACTTGCGGAATAAATCCTACTTGGTCATGGTGTATGATCTTTTTGATGTGCTGCTGGAGCTGATTTGCTAGAATTTTGTTGAGTATTTTGGCATCTATGTTCATGAGGGATATTGGCCTGTAATTCTCTTTCATTGTGTTGTCTTTATCTGGTTTTGGTATTAGGGTGATGCTGGCTTCATAGAAGGAACTTGAAAGTGTTCCTTCCTCTTGAATATTTTGGAATAGTCTGAGGAGGATAAGTTTTAGTTCTTCCTTGAATGTTTGGTAAAACTCTCCTGTAAAGCCATCTGGCTCCGGGCTTTCATTTGCTGGAAGCTTTTTGATGACTGCTTCAATTTTTTCCCAAAGTTACTGGCCTATTGAGATTTTTAGATTCTTCCTGATTGAATTTTGGAAGGTAATATTTTTCTAGGAATATGTCCATTTCCTCCAGGTTGTCAAGCTTGTTGGAGTAGAGTTGTTCTTAGTATTTTGTAACAATCCTTTGTATTTCAGCAGAGTCTGTTGTTATTTCACCTCTTTCATTTCTGATTTTGTTTATTTGGATCCTCTCTGTTTCTTGGTTAGCCTGGCTAGAGGTTCATCAATCTTGTTTATCCTTTCAAAGAACCAGCTCTTGGTTTTGTTGCTCTTTTGTATTGTTACTTTGGTTTCTACCGGGTTTCCCCAAAAATAAAACATCCTCTGAAAATAAGACCTACTTACAGGTTTCCTTCTGAGTGAAACATAAGGCATTCCCCCGAAAATAAGCCCCCCCGCCCCCAGGCTCTGTCTCAGAATAAAAATTAATTTGCCATAAACTGGTCGCTAGGGACACCCCGACTGGTGTCTAGCAACCAGTGACGTTACACGGAGTCCTGACATCACTGCTGTGTGGAGGCAGAGCCGAGGTCAGAGTGAGCAGTGAGCATGGGGTGGGAGAGTGGAGGAGACTTTCACAGATGCGTGTAGAAGAACAGGAGTATTAGAGTGGATGGGACAAGGTGAAGGTGGTGAGTGCTGGTCTGTCTCTGGTGACACTACCTGATGCTCGCTGCCGCCCTTATGATGACTGAAGGTTCTCAGTCAGTGGCAGACTCTGCTCCAGCCCAGATCCAGGCCCCAGCAAGCCCAGTTTCAGTCCCCAGGCAGGCCCCAGAAGGAAAATGTCTGATAAAGGGATAGGGGGAATGTCTGGTGAAGGTGTTCAGTGGCACAGGGGTGGGGGGAGTGGGATCACTTAAAATGACACAGGAGGATCAAAAGGGGTTACTAAAATGGTAACCCCCCCTCTGATTCTCCTGTGCCATTTTGATTCCCCCTTTATTCCCCCTGTGTCATTTTAAGTGATCCCCTTCCCCCCACCTAGATACCCCAATTCCTTTTTTTTTTAGCCCTAGAAATGAGCGCAAAAAGAAAAAGCTACTCCGTGGAGTACAAGAAAGGAATTGTGGAAGACTCTTGGGGCCAAAATCTTACTGCTTTCTGTAAAGAGAAGATGTTGAATATCCAATTGGTCTGAAAATGGCGAGCAGAGTATGGTAACCTCATTGAATAAGTGGACAAGGGAAATGCTAAAAAGCACAAATGTGGATCAGGTCGGCAACCATTATTTTCTGAGCTGGAAGACCTGATCTGTGAATGGGTTGTTGACAGGACAGCAGAGGCTTTGGTTGTGAATAGGGCTCAAATCCAAGAATTTTCCCTTGAAATGGCACCACAGTTTGACATAGCCCTCGAAGACTTCAAAGCATCACAACACTGGCTGGATAATTTCCTTCAGCGAAGTGAACTGTCTTTAAGAAGATCTACTGGTACAACATTGTTTAGGTTGGAAGATACTCAAGTTATTAAGCGAGCACTTGCATTCAAGTCCTTTATTGATGGTGCTGACTTCTCTAAATACAATCTTTCCAACATGATTGCTATGGATGAAACTGCAGTGTTTATAGGCCAATCATCTCAAACAACAATTGAACAGCGGGGTGCCATCTTAGTGTACATTCCCTCCACTGCCTATGAAAGTGCACATGTTTCCTGTATTTTGGCAATTCGTCTGGATGGCACTAAAATCCCACATTTAATCATTTCTAAGGGCAAAAAGGAAAAGATTGAATGTGTTTTGGGCATTTTTATTCTTGAAACTGAAAAAGCCACACAAGCAGTTATAAGGAAGTGGGTCGATTTAATGCTGCCGCTTGTTATGCGAGGGAGCCAAAGAGGTCTGCTAGTCTGGGATGCAGCCAGCACTCACCACACTAAAGACATGAAGACATTTCTTCATAAAGAAAAATAGATCAGATAATGATTCCCGCAGGAATGACGGCCTATCTCCAGACTCTTGATATTGCAATAAGCAAGCCATTCAAAGACAATTTGCACATGGAAATTAATGACTACATTGAAAATAGAATGGAGAGAAATCAGTGTGGAAACTTTGTGAAACCTAAACTGGAAGAAGAAAAATCACTGACAGTTGCATTGCAAATTCACTGCGAGCAGGCTACCTTGACAAGAAGTACTCATTTAAAGACAGTGCTATTGCTAAACATGAGAGATTTGGTCCACTGATTCTGAAAGAAATGGAGTCACAAGAAATTCACCAGGAAATTCAGGAATTGGATTGTTATGATGATGTTCCAGAAGATGATGACATGATTATCATTGAATAAATGAGTAAATTCTTGATACTGTAGGATTCACAGTTTGTCTGGTTTGTTGACAACTATCGTACTACCGTACTGTATACAGGTAATAAATTTCCTTTATTTTCTTTCTTTAAAAAAAAAATATATTTTATTGATTTTGTACAGAGAGGAAGAGAGAGAGATAGAGTGTTAGAAACATCGATGAGAGAGAGTCATCAATCAGCTGCCTCTTGCACACCCCCTACTGGGGATATGCCCGCAACCAAGGTACATGCCCTTGACCAGAATCGAACCCGGGACCTTTCAGTCCCCAAGCCGACGCTCTATCCATTGAGCCAAACTGGTCTCAGCAAATTTCCTTTATTTTCATTTAACAATAAATGTGTACCATATTCTTCTTCATGGAAAAATAAGACATCCCCTGAAAATAAGACCTAGCACATCTTTGGGAGCAAAATTAATATAAGACACTGTCTTATTTTCGGGGAAACAGGGTATGTCATTTATCTCTGCTCTGATTTTTATTATTTCCTTCCTTCTGAAAACACTGGGCTTTTCCTGTTGCTCTTTTTCTAACTCTTTGAGTTGTAGAGTTAGATAATTTATTACAATTTTTTCTTGTTTTTTTGCAGTAGGCTTGTAGAGCTATAAACTTCCCTCTCAAGACTGCTTTTGCTGTGTCCCATAGATTTTGGATTGTTGTGTTTATTGATGTATTTGTAAGGTGCAACAAGAAAAAAAAAATGAGAAAGCTTACCTCTTTGGCCTTTTTTAGCTCCTGTAATTGTGAGGTGTTATTTTCATGTTGTATCAAGAGCTCCTAAAAGTAATTTTATTTGAAAAAGTTCAGCAATGGGGTTCTGGCACTTCTTTAAAAAAAACTAATAAAACCAAAATAGGATTCAGAAATATAATGTAATAGTTACCAAAGTTTACATATTGATTTCATGAAGCACACATTATAAACTAATGGCATCACAGGTTGAAGTTAAGTAATGAAAATCTCACTCAGGTTAAACCATAGTGCATTGACAAATAGTAAAAGAAACATTCTCTTCAAAGGCTTTTCTGGTTAGCATCCAGGTTTAATACTGTTATCTATGCAGTTCCCCCAAAATTGAACTTTATACTCAATGCAATTCCAGTCTGGTTTTCTTAACAAGATAATTCTAAAACTTATATAGAAATATAGAGGATACAGAAAGCCAAAATAATTTTGAATAACAAGAGCAAAGTTAGATTTTTACTTATTGATTTCCAGCTACAGTAATTAAGATAATGTGCTGTTGGCTGAAATGAAGGCAAATAGTTGAATGGAAAAGAGTGGAGAGTCCACTGCCTCCACTTTCCAGATATGACAAATACACTAAGGCAACACAATGGAGGAAGAAACGTTTTTTTAAAAAAAACAAATCATTCTGGAACAACTGGATATCCATGAGGGGATAAAAAGAACTATGACTTCTATCTCACACACAAAAATTATTCAAAATGGATCACAGAATCATGAAAGCTAAAATTATAAAGCATTTATATAAAAAAAATGATATCTTAATGTCCTTGGAATAGTCAACAATTTCATAAAGGAGACACAAAAAAGGTATAACCATAAAAGAATAAAAAAAACAACAAATCTTGAGGGAAGGAGGGATTACTGGAAAGGAACATTAAAGTGCTTTCTGGGTTGATGAAATGTTCTAGATCTTGATTTGGGTGTTGGTTACATGGATATATATACATTTCTCCAAACTCATCATACTGTATATTTAATATCTGTGCATTTTGCTAAATGTAAATTACATATGAGAGAGAGAGAGAGAGAGAGAGAGAGAGAGAGAGAGAGAGAGAGAGAGAACACCCATTTACAGGTTATAATCAGTGTCACTGGAGGAAGAAGAAATACATGAAGATGATCAAATCTCTCCCCACTAAGAGGAACTACCACTATTTCTTATTCAAACATATGAGCTCTCCACACCCCAGAAGCATTATTTCAGAGCATGCCCCATTCCTCATTATTGTTTTGCTCAGTAATATAGTGAATGTCATACATGGGCTTTTATTGGAGAAATTAGTGGCTTTTCAATGAACATGATGGTTAGAAATGGGCTCTTAAAAATGGAATATTAGAGATTCTATGCACTTTGTATGAAATGGGTACAAAAATCTAACAAAGCCTGTAGCGTGTACACTTAGGGATGGGGTCTTAGGCTTGACCCCCAGTGAACTGTGTCCTGTGTAGGAGGAGCTCTGGTTGCCTGATGCTGACTGCAGGGTTACAGAAGGCTTATAGAAGCCTACTTCCGCAACACCATGGCAAATACCTATGCTGACTCTTTCATGCACCCCAAAACTCAGAGAACTGGTGGTATAACTGCCTGGACTTGCTGGCTAATGCCTGTTTGTTTAGTAAATGTCCACGTGTTTGGTAGAATTTTGTCTGAGACCTGCTTTCATTCTAACCTGGTATTAGTGTCAAGGTTGTAGGGAAGTGACTTTCAGGAGCTGCTAACCCTTATAATCTCTTTTAGTTGCTATCCTTATTTACTAAGAGTCGTATATGACCACATTTGCTTAGTTTAATTTGCAACAATACCCTTTCGCTTCAGCCATAGTCAAGAGTGAGAAGGATATTCAGAGACTAGGATTTTGGTAAAATAGGGAATTTTAGCTTCTGCATGTTTCACATTTTTTATTTCTTGTTAATTACAAGTTTCATTCCAATAACTCTGTAGTGTGGCTATCTAGATAAAGAACAGCAAAACTGTCTGTCTAATTGCATATGTCCCAGGGAAGCTTGGGAAGGAGAAATATTCCCAGGAAGATGGAAGCTGGTCTAATTACCAGGGCATCCCTGGAAACCGGATGTCCCTTCAAGACTGCACATTCCACCCACGATGTGCTGTGGGCTGACTCACCTCCTTCTCTCGAGTGAAGTTCTCAAAGATAACACTGTAGGAGTCACTTAATTTTTTCTTTTCTTCTTCCGTCTCTAACTCAAACTTTTTTGTCATCTTATTTTCTGTGGAAATGAGAGGAAACCACTTATAGAAGGTGTAAACGTGGGGAAAGGACAGGTGCAGGGAGATAACCAGAATATAAGTAGATAATAGAAAGTCCAGCCTGGGTCAAGCCCAAGGTGCTTTCATCCTGGTGTTCAGCCTCTGACACACACACCTGGAGAAGCTTGAGAGTGAGGTCAATAGGGTGGTGGCTCTCAATCACATCAGCCCTGCAGGGTTACCTCTAATGTTTCCTGTATTCTTCATGTAGTTTATTTTAGATCCGTTGCTTATTGTTTTGTTTGTTCTCTTGGCTGAAGCAACCACTGTGCTTTCTTGAATATCCTTATCCTATATAACAAAAGGCTAACATGCAAATCGACTGAATGGCAGACTGACAGGCCATTATGATGTGCACTTCTCACCGGAGGCAGATGCTCAATGCAGCAGCTGCCCCTGGTGGTTAGTGTGCTCCCACGGGCAGCGGGGCAGGGGAGGGAAGGGAGGGAGCACTGCTCAGCCAGAAGCCCTGAGCCTGGCTCATGGCTGGTGAGCTCAGGGAGGTGACAGGAGCCTCTTCTATCTCTGCAGCAGCACTAAGGATTTCCAATTGGCGGCTTAGGCCTGCTTCCCATGGGCCAGGCTGAGGGACTCCTCCCTCCCCCAAGTGCATGAATTTCATGGACCAGGCGTCTAGTCTTAAAATATAGCTCTTGGCTAACATGACTTTTCCAGCAATATAAGACACTTTGTACTTAGCCCTGGTGTAGAGATAGGCTTAAACATTTTTATTGTGTGTGGGGTTTTTTTTGTTTTGTTTGTTTGTTTGTTTGTTTGTTTGTTTTGGGGGGCAGGGAAACTGCCAGGAGAGATCCAATCAATATTGAACAGAAGGAAGAAGGGGTGATGGGGCTAACAAATTTCTTCTTTAGCATCACAATACTGAATGGATAAGCAGGCAACTCCCGGGCTCACAGGATAAATCTAGATTCAGCTACACTGGTCTCCAAGAACCAGTTGTAACATCTTAACTTAGACTTTGACAACAAGAGATGAGTGTAGTATGAGTAGCTAGAAATCTGGGAGTTGACCTGGGCTATGCCACACCGAGATTCTAAACAAAGCCACCAGCAGGAGCAGCTCCACATTCCCTTCCCAGTCTAACTCCAGGGTCTTCATGCTACCTTCTAGCAGTCCAGTGTCCCCACCAGGGCAGAAATGGCCTTAAGAATTAACTTTTCCAGAAGTATCTGCATTGAAGTGAGTAATTTGTTAAATCAACTAAATTTGATATGAATTAGGTTGGGGTAGGATGTGAAATAGGTTTGTAGAGGTTGCACCCCTAACTCAACTAGTCTTCTAGGTCAGGGAACAGAATCTTTATAAATTCTTCTCTCCTTTTTCTATTTATGAAGCTGCTCGGGGAAGGGTGTGTGTAGAAGGCTCACCTATGTATGATCCAAACTCTGAGCTAAGTGTTGGAAATATTAAAAATATATAGCAAGCCCAGCTGGTATGGCTCAGTGGTTGAATGTTGACCTATGAACCAGGAGGTCATAGTTTAATTCCTGGTCAGGGCATGTGCCTGGGTTGAAAGCTTGATTGCTGGAAACCAAGATCAACAGTAATTAATATAAATGTGAGGAGTCTACCAGAAGGCTGAGTTTAGACTCCCTTTGATATCCACAGGGTGAATATTTACATTGTATTACCTACTGCTGACTCAATGGCTTAAAGTAGTGGTCGGCAAACTGTGGTTCTCGAGCAGCTCTTTGGCCCCTTTAGTGTGGCTCTCCCACAAAATACCACGGCCTGGGAGAGACTGTTTTGAAGAAGTGGCATTAGAAAGTTTAAAAAAATCTGGCTCTCAAAAGACATTTCAATCATTGTACTGTTGATATTTGGCTCTATTGACTAATGAGTTTGCTGACCAATGGCCTAAAGCAAATTCCCCAACATGATAATCTGTTTATTGAACATTACCATTGGTATGTCTGTTTGCATTCCCGAAAGGCAATTGTGTATTCTCTAGTAAATAAAAGCAGCTGGCAGTGGAATTTGACTACTACAGTTGAGCTTTTTCCTGGCTTCCCCCCATAATCAAATTAATATTTCTTGTCTTGTGTGTCAATTTGTGCATCAACTCTTTCTCCAAGCCTTTGAATCGAAAGCCACACTGGCCACACTTGGTCCCCAGTGGGGGGCATGCAGGCGGCAGCTAATTGATGATTGTCTCTCATCACTGATATTTCTAACTCTCTCTCCCTTCCTCTCTGGAATCAATAAAAAATATTTAAAAAAATAGAAATATATAAATGTATTAAATCAATGTTATATACTTTAAACTTATACAATGTTATATATATCAATATCTCTATATATGTATCAAACAAGGCTTACTTGGGGAGGATGTGGGAATATAGAGTACAATCCAGTACAATGGATTGTGTTGCCCCTCTTCCAACAACTGAATATTTGAAACCTAATTTAAGAACTTTTTTCCCTGGAACTTTGGAGTCACCTGTAATTAGATAACAAGTCTACATTCTTACAGATGTCCCAAAGCTTGTTCCAGCCCATGATGGCCAAACTTGGAATCAGTGAGTGTTAGAAGGTGTAGGAATCTCAGGTGGCTGAACTTCATAAAAGACTCCTTCCTGTCACTTTCTTGCAAACTCCAGACACCTTCCATTTGGGAGTCTAGCCATGTGGCTCATCACCTCGGTGAATCCAACGCTGCCTTCCTTGAGTCGAGACCAAGCTTCATGGAGGTTTTTCATCAAGACATCAGAAGTTTCTGTACTCACTTTGCTGTAGTAGGATCTTTTCCCGTTCTAACTTCTCATTCTTCTCCCATTCTGCCTTCTTCTTTGTCCACTTATCTTCCATTTCATCATAAAGGCTGTCCTGTGGAGGCACAACGGCAACAGAAGCAAAGGGCCCTGAGAAAGGCTGCACACTGGCCCAAGGCCCAGCAACAGGCCCTGTCAGCTTCCCTCACCTGGGACCCTTGCTGGGGTGGGGAGCTCTATGTGGGTGACTGAAGAAAGTAAATTCCAGCCCAGCCCCCTTGAGTGCAACTGAAGCTCAAAAGCCTGGTCCTGCACAGTGTTTGCAGAGTTTAAAGACAGGTAGTGCTCCCCATGTCGTCAACTCCCTCTGATTCATGACTTACTCATAAAGAGCACATGAAGAAACAAAAGAAATGCCTAGTAGTTAACTTGAACACTTAGAAAACAAGATGTTTTTCAGTGATCATTTCCCTCAGCAAACCTAACTTCCTTTGTGGTTAACGTTAAATAAGCCTAACCATTTCATGACAGGGGGGCCTCAGAAGGGGGGATCCAGGGCCCGGATGCCGCCAGTCAGAATCCTGACTGCCCTCCTTGTGAGGTTAGCAATGGAATTTATATTGGGCCTGTGCATCAGAGCTCGTTTGTAATTGTTTGTGGCCATTTAAACAGAGGTTCTCTCGTCATTTTCAAGGCCGGTGGGCAGCTATTTCCAGAGAGGCCACACTCTCTGGAGAGGCCCAGACTAAGCAAATACCAAGTATCCAAAGGAACTGGGCAGCTTACCTGCTCATCAACCTGATGCTTCTCTGGTCTATGGCGCTTCCCTGACTGTATGAAGGTACATCTTGAAAAATGAGTTTTGGATTCTAGTTCAAAACTGAAACTATGAGTGGTAAATTGAATTTCAGAGGTGGTGCTGGTTTCCCCCTTTGATAGGATGATCAACTACCCTTGTTTGCCTGGGACTCCAGATTTTCGATGCTAAAACCCAGAAGTCCCAGGCAAAATGGAATTAGTTGGTCACCACAGGATGGGGACTTGCTGCCTCAGCCCTTCCCTATCCATTCCATACTTCCCACTCTCTCATCCCCTAGGAAGAAATCCTGCCCTAACTCTGTCCCTTGGCCTCCATCAAATTAATTGATTAAATGAATGAGTTACGCCCTGAGATGCTAGAGCACTTCCATGTTCTGCTAGAGGGAGTAGTGCAGAGTGATACAGTCTTTCTGGATGGAAATTTGGCCAAATATATCGAAGACCTTTACAACAGTTATTCCTTTTGATCCAGAACTCTATTAAAATCAAAGATGTCACAAAGTACAAATATTAACAGTCATTGTCTTGGGGTAGTGGCAGTTTTTCTTTTCGTTGCTGCTGTTGGTCTACATATTTCCTTTAAAAAAAAACACTAAAAATAAAATAACATAACACTGAGCAGGTATTACTTTTGTAACCACAAACCTATTTTTCTATGGGCTTCTTTAGGGCCTGGGTGACTGACTTGTCATGCACGGGAGCCATCATAGTCCAAAGGTGCACTCTCCTCCCTGGGCGCAGTCAGTGTGTGCCACTGGGGTGCAAGGATGCTGGGGAGCTGATGGAATTATTTTCTGGGGCAGAGATCAAGATTCATCTCATCATCATCAAGCAAGAGAATGTGTCTTGCTTCTCTTACTCCTTACTCTTGTAATCCAACAAAGAGCTCTGGATCTCACCTGATACATATAAAACATATTCTTCAAATACTTGTATTCCTTTCCCATCTCCTCTGGACAAAAGGAAAACAACAGGATAAGCATTATTGCTCTGAAATGCACACTTTCAAATTCAAATGTGAGCTCTCTGGCACACCTTTCCCATATCAAACTCATCCCCTTAGTGGTAAAACCACGGTGTACCCCAGAGACCTCTCTGGAGGCTTATTAGAAACATAGGATGCCTGAACCCCACCCCAACCCTACTGAATTGAGCTCTCAGAGGAGAGCCCCAGTATCTGTCAATAATATGCTTCTCAGGCGATTCTGATGGACACCAAGTCTAAGAACTAAGTCCTAGGATAAACCTGAGTCTTTGGAAGAAGAGAAGCAAAATCTTGTAGCATGCACCTGCCTCTCTCTTTTTAAAATCACGCTTTCTAGTGTACATTGATTTTGAAAACATACATGTTCTCTTAAAAAAAAATCTGGGAAATCAGCAAGGTATAAATACCACCTTAAAAAAAGAAAGGCAATGGAAGGGGAAAAGAGGTTATAGAATTTCTCCTCTCTGTGGACATTAGCCTATGAACTCAGAATTCTGAAGAAGACACACTTCCTCTTCTCAAGAACAGCATAAACAATGGAATAAATGGCCAACACAACCCATATGGATTATGAGGCCACACAAATCACAGTGTGTCAGTTAGAATTTAATGACACCATTTTTCTGGTGAGGAAACTTCCTGAGTTAGAATAGTATTATATTTGCAGAACTTTAAATATATTTTTAAAAGTGCTTTCTCATTTTTATCACACTGATAAAGGCCAATATTACTATCTTCAATTCCCAGATGGGGAAACTAAGACTTGATACAAAGGGTCAGAAGGACATTGGTAGGCATGGATTCCCTATTTTCAGTTTCATTCTCAATCATTCCCTCTTCCTGAGCTTAAGAGGAAACCTTGAAAGTCTAGCTAAAGCCCATCATGGCCATGAGAATCTCTCAGCCCTAGACCTACATGGTCAGCCTCCCACCCCTTCATCATGGTCATTCTTCCGGGTCCTGAACGTACCTAGTTTTTCTTGGGAAGCCAACTTCTCTTCCTTTAAGGCTGCTTTGTAGTTGTTCTCCAACTCACTGAGCTCTGCTGCGTGAGCCTCTTTGAGCTCCCTGTGGGGCCCCGAGGGAAGGTCACAACCATCAGTGAAAAGAAGTCCAGAGTTGAGCTGTTTTATTCACCTGATCCCACCTCTCATCCCTCACACAGAAAGCCAGCAGGCCATCACTTTTTTGAGGCACTTTTTTTGGGGAAGAGAAGGGGAAAACCAGAGTTTTCATCAATCTCTATTGTGAATGGAGCTGGTGGGTGCCATAGGTAATGTTAGAGTCCAAGGTCTCTCTAGTCTCCATTCCAGTGTTCAAGATGAGCATTACAATGAAAGGCTATTTGAGCTGTCAAGCCAATAAAAGACATGGAGGAAACTTAAATGCCTATTAGTAAGTGAATGAAACCAATTTGAAAAAGGCTTCAACTGTCTGATTCCAATTGTTTGGCATTCTGGAGAAGGCAAAATTACAGAAATAGTCAAAAGATCAGTGCAATGGTTGCCAGGGGTTAGCAGTGAGAAAGGGATAAATATGTAGATCACAGAGGATGTTTAAGGCAGTGAAACTATTCTGTATGGTCTATAATGGTGGAATATAGACCTAATAATATACTAATAATAGAGGAATATGCAAATTATCTGGGACACTGTCACAGTAATAGTAATGACCAGCAGGCTGCCTGGGGTGACAAGGCTAGCAGGGGGGACTTGTGGGGTGACCAGGCTGGTGGGAGGGGGCAATTGGGTGTGACCAGGCAGGATGGGGGCTGTTGGGGGTGACCACACTGGTGGGGGTGCAGTTAGGGGTGACTAGGCAGGATGGGGGCTGTTGGGGGTGACCACACTGGTGGGGGTGCAGTTAGGGGTGACTAGGCTGGCAAAGGGGTCAGTTGGGGGCTACCAGGCCAGCAGGGAGGGCAGTTAGGGGCAACCAGGCTGGCAGGGGAGGGCAGTTGGGGACAATTGGGCCAGCTGGGGAGGGCAGATGGGGGTGATCAGGCTGGCAGGGGAGCAGTTAGGTGTTGATCAGGTGGCAGCGGTATAGTTAGGGGGTGATCAGGTTGGCAGGCAGAAGTGGTTAGGGGCAGTCAGGAAGGCAGGCAGGTGAGCAGTTGGAGCCAGCAGTCCCATATTGTGAGAGGAATGTCCAACTGCCCTCGAGGGGTCCAGGATTGAAGAGGTGCAAGGTGGGCTGAGGGACACCCTCTCCGGTGCACGAATTTTGTGCACCAGGCCTCTAGTATAATAATAAAAGGTTAACATGCAAATCGACCAAATAGCTGAATGACCAGCAGAACAACCAGTCACTATGACCACTAGGGGGCAGATGCCCAATGCAGGAGCTTTCCCCAGCCGTAGACCCCAGGCCCCAGGCCAGCCAAGGTGAGTGCCAGGGTGTGCCCCCTTCTCTCTCTCCTCCCCCCATCGCTCTGCCAATTGCCATGTAGAGGTAGGCGACTGGTGGTAGAGGGGGGTGGGGCTGGCGAGTGGGCAGCACCAGGCCAGCCAAGGCAGGTGCCAGTGGCCCCCCACTCCAATCACCCCACTGGTTGCCCCACAGATCAGCCCTGATTGCCCACCAGGCCTAGAGACCTTACCTGTTAAGCCTCACCTGAGGATATTTTTCCATTGATTTTTAGAGAGAGGGAAAGAGAGAAGGAAAAACAGAGAGAAACATCAATGTGAGAGAAACACATTGATTGATTGCCTACTGCATGAGCCCTGACCAGGGAATAGCCTTCAACCAAGGTACATGCCCATGACTGGAATCAAACCCAGGACCCTTTGGTCCTCAGGCTGATGCTGTATCTACTAGGGCCATAGAATGTGTGTTGACAACATCAAGAGTGAACGCTAATGTACACTATGGACTGTGTCAGTGCAGGTTCATTGAGTGTAACAGATGCACACCAGCAATGCAAGGTGTCAATAACGCCATAGGACATGCAGATGTGAGGTGAGGGAATATATGGGAAGTGTCTGTACTTTACACTCTATTTAACTATGAACATAAAACTACTCTAAAATGAAATTCTATTAAAAATAAATAAGTTAGGAAATAAAATAAGTTAATCAATTAATTTAAAAATTTGTTTTTTAAGGAAAAAGCCTATGACTCCATTAGGAAGACTTCTCTCCACCAGGGCTTCTGAGCCCAGCAGGTAGCATGGAGGGGATTTTATAGGTTTCCTCACCCACACAGACAACACACCTCATTTACTTCCTCTTGGTTTGTCCTTGGCTCTGGCTCCTGCCCCTCCCATACCTTCTTGCCATTTTACCCAGGTCCTGACCTAGCAGCCAGGGAGAGCAGCAATAAGAGGAGAGGAGAGGAGAAAGAGGAGGAGATGGAAGAGGTTGGGCTGAGAACCACAGCTGTCTACCACAGAAATCTCACATGGAAATTTTAAAAGATCCAGAGACAGATCAGACTGTTGGACCTCAGAGGGTAGGTAGAGGAGGGTGAGGATAAGGGGAAGAGATCAACCAAAGGACTTGTATGCATGCATATAAGCCTAACCAGTGGTCACAGACAAAAGGGGGCTGGGGCATGCGTGGGAGGGGTTTGGGATGGGAATGGGGGGATGAGGACAAATATGTGATACCTTAATCAATAAAGAAATTTGAAAAAAAGAAAAAAGAAAATAAAAGATGGTTCTTTGAGGCAACCAACAAAAAAGGAGATTATAATGGGAATGAAACAATTGTATAAGAAAGTGCCAAACCTTTTCTGTGCCTCAAATCAAACCATCCTGCTCTCCAAAGACATGCATCTCACCTTCCCCACCCCTGGTTACCTAGCTCCATTTGAAGTAGGGGTGTCGAACTCAATCAGAGAAGGGGCCAAAATCTAAAATCCAGCCTAAATCGCGGGCCGAATGGTTTACTGAACAGTCATAAACTGTCATTGTGATGGAAACGCAGCGGAGTGCAGTGATGACAGAGCGGTGCGGGCCACATTGCAAGGCCTGGCAGGACGGATTTGGCCCGCGGGCCTTGTGTTTGACACATGTGATTTGAAGCATCTGAAATTCAGTGAACTGAAGTCCTGGAGGATGCAGGAGCCTTAGGGCCTCCTGCACACAAGGGCTTTTGCCAGAAAACATACCTGCTCTTGTTTTCAAAGTCCTGCTTCATCTCAGCACAGCGCTTTTCCATTTCATTGGAGAGCTGCAAATGAGGCCATCATCAGTAACACAGGATTGAAGACCCCACTCCCACTCCAGTCTGCAACTTTTGAGAAGCCTTCTGACTCAAGGGGTGCACCCCGCCCCCCCCCCCCACACACACACACATGTCTCTGTGTCATTATGAAGGAACAGAACAATTCTTGTCTTGCTCTGTGTGGTCTGGCATGTGATCAGCTTATAGTGTTGGTGCACAGAAACCATCCTGTCACCACCAGGTTTTGTGAGCAGGCTTGGTCCTCTCTGCTGGGCTGTAATCTCTTTGTAAGAGTGTGGCCTTAAACCCCCCAAATACTGAATTCAATTGAAAGATCATTTCTTAAACAAATGACTTGGCCTGGAAGAGCCAAAGAGGTCTTCGAAGAACTTTAAATCCAGTGTTCAAGACTCACTGGCAGGATGTCTGGGTTCCAGCAGGCAAGTGCTGCCCACTTCCAGGTGACCCTGCATGCCAGCACATCCAGTCCTCTGGCCATTGTCTCAGGAGGAGTGGACACTTCCAAATTAGTCAGCACCCAAGGGTTCAGGGCTTGTCCTTCCCTCTCTGACTGAACAGTGGCACTAGCACTCCTCTCTTATTCAGGGTCACACAACAATTTGGGGTGTTTACAGGTGGAAGAACTTTTATTTTTAGGTGAATGTTAAGGATCACAATCTGAGGTCCCTCCATGGAAGTAATCTCTAAATGTCTTAAGTGAGTGAAAATGGGCATTTTCTCAAATAAAGGTAAATGCTCTTAGGCTAATTATTTAACTTCCCAAGACTCAATTTTCTTTGGGTAGAAGAACCACAGCCCACAAACCTGCCAGGGCTTTCAGATAAATATAGTAGTAATGAGTCATTAGTAAGGGAAGGTTCAGTTTGAGTCATAAGCTGGGTCCCTGTAGGATTCGGAAGCATCTGGGGTGCATGAGAGGGTGAAGGCTGGACCCGCTGGGAAATCAACCTTATACAAGTGCGTTTCAATAACAACAGGCAAGAGGGGGAGGGGGTCTGATTATGCCTCTGGTTTATCACTCCAGTGCAAGCCACCAGGCACACCTGCTCGAAGTGGGGAAGAAGACATTATGATAAAACAGATGATAAAATCTAAAGGAGGTTTCACCAAAATCCCCAGGAAACCCAAAGAGTATAATTTACATCAGCGCCATCTGAAGTTTTGGCTTTGGTAGTTTCAATAGCAACAGGAAGTGGGGACTGAAGGCTTTTGGCTAATTTTTTGAGCAATACTGAAAGTGCTGACTGCAGTGGTGTCTAAGCAAGAGCCTCCACAACCTTTGAAGCTTAACTTAGCGCCAGGCCGGAAATGGCCAGTGCCCCCTCGTGTGGAGAGAACAATGGTGTTGACACCCTGCAGGCACTGGGGGAACTCACAGAAACTCAGCTAGGCCTGGAGGAAGGACTTGAGTTCTTGCAATTATGGAGGAGGATGGAGACAGAGAAATACCATTGGGTGGCCCCAGTCCTATCCTCAGAACTCTCGCCTGGGCAACATGGCTCCTGTGAGTCAAGTACTTGGCAGCATGCCTGGAAGACAGTGTGATCTGAACACCTTGGTATTTCCTGTACCCAGAGAAATGTCAGCTAGCTTAAGGATCACTCACCTTTGTTTCAGAAGACTGGTGGTCTCTGTTCATTTGCTCTATTATCATCGTCAGATCTGAGATCTGCTCTTCTAGGTCAGTAATGATATCAGTCCTATGGGATAAGTAATTCTTCAGTCACCCACAGAGCTTTATCTCATGCCAGTCAGGCCTCTTCCTGAGTATGAATGGATGAGGGAGAGCCAAGCCACGTTCTGTACTTGCTCCACCATCACTGAGGTGGGGAGGGAGGGGTAGAGGAGTGGAGAGAAGGAATGTGGCAGTAGGGTGGCTGAGCCTCAAATATGGCCCTTTTGGGTAAGTTAGCCAGAACTGAGTGGGGTGGTTTGGTGGCCTACTGAATAGAAGGGGAAATGGAATATGTCAGAAACCTACCCTGTTTCCCCGAAAATAAGACAGTGTCTTATATTAATTTTTTCTCCCAAAGTTGCGCTAGATCTTATTTTCAGGAGATGTCTTATCTTTCCATGCGCTAGGTCTTATTTTAGGAGGATGACTTATTTTCAGGGAAACACGGTATTAGGGTTTGACCTTGATTTGGTAATGATAGTTGAAATGGAGGGGGGAGAAGTTCAGAAAATTAGGAAATGAGAAGGTGGGGGATAGGATTGATGCTGACAGTGAATCATAGGCAAGGAATAGGCCAGAAACTGGATGAGGAGGAGATTTAAGAGAGTGGCTTTCACCAGTTAGAGAAAGAGAAGTATCACATGATCTCACTCATATGTGGAATCTAATGAACCAAATAAACTGATGAGCAAAAATAGACCCAGAGCTTTAGCCAGTTTTTCTCAGTGGGTAGAACATCAGCCTGCAGACTGAAGGGTACTGGGTTCGATTCCGGTCAAGGGTACATGCCCAGGTTGTGTAGGGGGTATGTAGGAAGCAGCCGATCAATAATTCTCTCTCATCACTGATGTTTCTATTTCTCTCTCCCTCTCCCTTCCTCTTTGAAATCAATAAATAAATTTAAAAGAATAAACCCAGGGACATAGAAGTATGAACACACTGTTGAACCAAAGAGGGAAGACCGGGGAGAGTGAGTGGAAGAGATCAACCAATAAACTTGTACGCATATACGCATTACCTGTGGATAGAGACAATGGCATGGTTAGTGCCTGGGGAAGGTGGATGTGAGGGGGCTAGGAGAGATTAATGGAGGGAAAAGAAGGACGTATGTAATACTTTCAATAATAAAAATTTAAAAGAGAGAGGAAGAGAGAGAGGCCTTCAGACTTGATAAAGGCTTTCTGTGCTTCTGGGTCTGCAGCCTCCATGATGTCTAAGATTGCTCTGTTTGGTTGACCTGGAGTAGACAGAGTGGTGGGCAGTGCTGTGTGCAGTGCAGCAGAGAAGAGGTCCTAGACTCAAGAGCTTGAGAAAACAAAAGGATGTGGGAGGAAAGGACATCAAGGCATGAGAAAGAAGAAAGTGTATGAGAAAGTTGAACAATAGAGAATTCCTAGCATGATCTTCAATATAAACAATACAGCTTTACCAGGGAATAAAACAATTGTGGGCTATTGTGTTTTATTATGCCACAACTGGTGACAACTTTCTTAATGAGGCCAAGAGGTGCTTCAGGGTGCTAGCTTGACTGTGAGTACATGGCCCATCTCCTGGACAGGGCCTTCTGTGCAGGGCACAGCAAACCAAACAGGGCCTGGAGGGAACACAGAGACTGGAACCTGGTTTCGCTAGGCCAGCTCAGATCTGAGTGACTTCATGCATGGCCCCGCTGAGTAGTGGGCCTATGTGTCCTTCAGCCTTATCCCAGTCTGAATCCCTTCCCAAATAAAACCACTGCTAACAGCCTGGTTGTATCCTTTCTCTATACCTATATACTAGGTGGTGTGTGTGTGTGTGTGTGTGTGTGTGTGTGTGTTCTGTTGCTATTGTTAGTCTTTAGATTTCTGTCTTGAAAAAATAATTTTCATAGCAATGTAAAGCCCAAGGAAGAGACACTCATTGGTGAACCACTGCAATAGTGTAGGTAGATGGGGAAGGGGAAGAAGACGTGAGAGATTTAGGAGGTGGAATGAAAAGGATGTGGGAACTGCTTTTACATGGCACTGGAGGACAGAGAGTGGGTGGGACTTGAACGACAGAGAGGATGACAACGTACTCAACTGGGAGGGAGTCAGACCAGAATATTCTGAGCTACATCCTCCCAGAGACATGATCTGAGTAGTACCTTTGGACACAATAAAAAAAGGGATGTATCCTCAGGCCTCCCAGAAACCCTGGCTTTTAGTTTTCATCCAACAAATTTATTGTATTACTATCTCATCGGTTCATTACTTTCAGGAAAAACTGCTCTCCTTTAATACAAATTATAGTACACCTAATCATTTTCCAGATCCACTGAGTTGACCTTCATCCTGACTAGAATGGGATTGGAGCAGAGAGGTCGGGTGGAGTGGAGCAAGCAGAGGGCTGAGGCATGGAGTGACTTACAGCATCTCCAGAGCAGGACTGGGAGTGGACATTAGGCCAGGCTGAGCCAGCTAGGGAGAGGTTTGAGGAGCTGGATGTTGGTCCAAAGACATTACCTGTGAGTGCTGATTTTGTCCATGATCTCTGATTTCAAATGATTTTTCCTACCAAACATCTCATCTCCCAAGGTGACGGAAATCTGCTCCCTATTTCGAAAGAGGCGATAGCCGGGGCTCACGTTGATCACTTCCTAGGCAACAGGGTGGGAGGTAAGAGAATATTGCAGAGAGCTGAGAGTCCTCCAAATCCGTGAGTGCCCCTCTCACATCTACAAACAGAGACTTGAGATGGACTATGACCTCCCCAGTTACCACTCACCCTCGTATCTCCATATTTCTCTCCTGAGATCCAATCCGAAGACTCAACTAGATCCTGGATGTCTCCCTATGCCTTTCAAGCTCAACATTTCCAAAATCCAGCCATTAACACCCACTGCACATTCTACACCCAAACCTGTTCCTCCTCTATGTTCTCTGTCGTGTCCAGAAGTGAAGCTAAAACAAATTGACATGAGAAAATGCTTAGCACAGCTGCAAAAAACTTTCTTTACTCAGTTCCTTCTCTGTCCCCCGTCAGATGCAGGGCTACCAGCTGCCATAGGTCCAGATGCGAGTTGTGCAGGACACCCCTGCAGGCCACAGGTCCGGGCACTGTTATCTCCTAAAAGTATCTCATCCTCATCCTCTCCTCTCCCAGCCTTGCCCGATGGAGCCGGAGGCTACCACCATGTGTCTCCTGGGCTCTGGAGCTAACTTCCCAGCGGGCCTCTCCACCTTCAATCTGGCTCTCCTAAGTTCATCATCCTCTCCACCTGGAGGGCTGTGACATTTTGGTTTACTTTTTTCCTGCCCATTAAGGGATCGCATGATTCTTTGAAGGGGGTTAGGAGAGAAAGGAAAATAGATAAAAGCAGAAAGTAGTAAAAGTACCAATTATATCCCACCAGAGGGTGTGCTTTCTCTTCCCCCCCCCCCCCCACCAAATGTAAATCTTATCTGGTCACATGCCTGTCAGACCCATAAAGGTTCCAAGACATCAAAAGGTTTGGGCCCAAACTTCTAGGAAGGTGTCAAGATCCTTCAGGGTTTGCTCCCTATCTCCTTCTCCAATGTGCTCCTACCCTGCCCCCTCTTATGCCCTGGCGGCCCCTTGCTCAGCATGTGTGGATTCCCAAGTAGAACAGAGGGTTTCCTACCCCTGTGCATGAGTTGTCTCCTGTCCTGGACTGACTGTCACCACCTCGTTTTCTTGGGACACTCTCCTCACCCTACGCAAGGCAGTGAAGAGGTCATTAAACACTCTCTCTGGGGTCTGGCAGAGCTGAGTTCAAGTCCTGGTCCTACACGATGTGCAGTAATTCCAGCACCTCCTCATAGGATCATTGCAAAGATTCAATGAAGTCAATACATGTAAAAGGCCCATGCCTGCACACAGTAGGTACTCAATAACTGTATATCCCCACAACCCTCTTTCCATTTTTACTTACAGAAGGTAAACTAGTGCTCTCCTCTTTTTTTCCTAAACGGATTTTCACTCTGCAAGAGAAATGCATGCTCAGAAGCAACCAGAGAGCAAGGAGAAGCTCCAAGATCAGCTGTGCCCTGACCCCACCACTCATCTGCAAAATGTGACATTCCTAGGATAATCTGTGTGGCCCTTCAGTTCTTAAAAATATACTTTAGAAAATAGAGAATATTTAGTGGTCCAGAGACCATTGGTACATAGGTTGTAATAAAATGGCAGGTAGTGGAAAACTGGGAAATCAACTAGTCACGAGTCTAATAGTAGAACCATTCTTAAAATAAGGGCCAAGAAGCTTGGAGTGAAATTCAAAGGGATGGTGCATAATCATAAATGCACACATTTTTTTAGTGACATATATGTTGTCTCTCCAATCACTTTTATTTCTCATTTGCACCAGAATTCCATGTTTGGGGACCCCGAAATTGCAAGGTTAATTCAGGATAAGCAAAGTGTTACTATTTTGAGATCTGGTACTAACCCTGATCATAATAAATTTTTGTTTCAGGTACAGAAACATGAGTATATTATCAGGTACCCAAATATCAAAAAAGTATTTATAAGGAAGTTCACCTAGAAGGTTGAAATATTAGAGTAAGAGTAACCACCTTCTGATGTGCTGACAAAGATAGGTAGGCCTCTCCCCTTGACCTCCACACATTACACATGTACACAACCATTGGGCAAATGCTGTGTTGAGAGACAACTAAAATCTGCTCTAGCCGAAACTGGTTTTACTCAGTGGATAGAGCGTCAGCCTGTGGACTGAAAGGTCCCAGGTTCGATTCCGGTCAAGGGCATGTACCTTGGTTGCCAGGGACATCTCCAGTGGGGGTCGTGCAAGAGGCAGTTTCTAACTCTCTATCCCTCTCTCTTCCTCTCTGTAAAAAAAAAAAATATATATATATATATATATATATATATATATATATATATATATATATATATATATATTTTAAATAAAAAGTAAATAAAATCTGCTCTAGAAGTTCCAGTTCCCCACAATCAAAACAACCACAGTATCAGTAAGGGCTGTGGAGTCAGTTACTAGGATGCGACTGGTCCAGAGTCTGTGTCTGACTCTGGATGTGGGCAGTGGGGTGGGAAGGACTTTTCCTGGTGGAAGCAGCTCCATCTTAGTTAATAACTATCAGTCTGGTTTAGATCCCACATTTCCCACCCCCACAGGGGGCCTCCAGATAAGCACTGAGAAAACCATTCCAAGGATTTGGCTACCTTAGAGGTGACCACCAACCTTTGATTTTAACTTTCACTGACAAAAAAAAAAAAAAAAAAAAAAAAAAAAAAAAAAAGTCTATGTGTTAAGAAATGGGCATGAGTGCATAATATACATTAATATTTCAATAAGGTCCACATGTAATTTAAGATTTAAAATAATTTAAAATGCAACTTAAATCAACCAAATGTTCCTAATTCAACTGTCCACAATGGATAATTTGGTTTGTTTTCTCTGAATTTAGGAAAGCCTTGTTTGGAAACCTCTGGATGGCCCAGGTGTCATTAAAAAACTGACCATGGATTTGAGTTTATGCCATTTTTTGCTTTTAGTTAATCTCATTGAACAAACTGAGACCTTCCACAGCATTGTTTTAACTTTGGAACTACTATGTGGCTACATAGATACTCATTTTGTCAGAAAATGATGCTTCTCTCACTGAAAAGAAAAAGGAAAGGTTGATCCAGAATGACTCATCTTTATTCTTTTTGTCCTTGTCTACCTGTTACTCTGATTACAATGACCTAATTTTGATACTTTGTTGACATCGATGAAAGCATTTCACATTTTCTTATTTAATGGATTCAATGAGTAGTTAATATATGCAAACCATAGTGCTCTGTACCAAGAGAAATGGAATGAGATGTGTTAGTTTTATTTAAGATATGAAAAAAGGCACATAAATACTGAAACCAGATGAAGAAAAAGAATTAAAGTGCCATAGAGAAGTACAGATAAAGAGATTTTCTAATTGTGTCTCTAAGGGATTGCGAGCACTCTGCCACTGCCATTTTTCAAGGCCTCTGATGTATACAAAATCAAAATCAAAACAAACCCCAAGAATTGCTAAAATAGGGTTATAAAAATTGAGTTATAGTTCAGGTTTAAGAATTGAAAACTTTTGGAGGCGGAGCTTGAAGATGGTGACCGAACAGACGGACTTGTTCTGACCCTGGTCCCAGAACAGATAAAAGCAGCGTCTGAGTCGCTCAGGGAATGTTGATTGGCAGCTAAGGGGCAGCTGAACTCTCAAGGAAGGTAAGGAAGGGTCCGCTGGACAGGATTTCCTGACCAAGCGGCCAGCACTGCGGTGGTGGCGGCGACCTCTCCCGGAGCTACGGGCTCAGAGGGAAGGCTGCGCCATTTTACCAGGAAAGGAGGATCTTCTCTGAGGCTTGGAAAACCCACAGCGGAGGAGTCCATCAAGCAGCTGTGACGCCCCAATCGGCGCAAACACGTGAGGGAGTTCTTCAATCACCCACCGAAAGGTCAGAGTTTGCGGGGATAGCCTGAGGGTTCTGGGTCCCATGGTGCAGGCAGCGATGGTAGCCGCGGAGCTCCCTCGAGGCCCTGCCCCAGAGTGCCGCGCGGCAGCCCGCACCTAGCTGCGCCCAAAGAAGGCTACAGCGAGAATCCTGCCCGGCGACACCCAGTGCTGGGTTTGGCATAATCTTCCCCAGAAGCGGGACTTTTTTAAAACGCCAGGGGACACGGGACAGATTGTTAAGAATCGCGGCTGTCCTGCCAAGGGCGGAACATCTGGACACCTTGGTGCCTGATTCCCTTCACCCCCTTGCTCCTGAATACTAGGGAAGGACTGCCCAGTTGGGCATATCCGGGGAAATTGCAGGGGGAAATTGCCTTCCTGGAAACAAGGGATCAGAGCCAGAAGAGACAGTCTGGGAGCCAGTTGGCACTCTGCCAGCTAGAGCCATAGAGAAAGAAGGCCAGAGCAACCAAAAAGACTGGGAGGTCAAACCGGAAACACTGCAACCTAGGGCTGAACTAGAAACTGCCTTTTTTTTTTTTTTTAATTTTTACTTTTAATTAATCAAAAATAAATGGACACAAATAACTAAGATATAGCCTACTTAAAATTAAGGACTACCTTACAAAACTGAGGTGCAGTGGAATGCTGGGAACTGCAAGACTGTCTGGTCTGAGAATCAGGCGTGCCAAATACAATAACAGAGGAAGTGAATGACCACTACTGGACATTTTTATGCTAATTTTACTATTCTTTATTTTATTTTCATTTTTTACATCTTTAATTTTCATTTTTTAGATCTTTTACTTAAGAAATGAATTTTTTTCTTTTTTCCTTACTTGATTTTACCTTTTCAATTATTACATTTTTCAATCTCTATCATCACTATTACTACTGCTATTTTGCAATTTTTTTTTTCCTTTTTTTTTTTTACATTGGGAGCAATCTTCATTCTATTTTAATCTCTACTATAGCATTATTCAACCCTATCTCAACTCGACCCTTTTAGTCTCCTGTTTATCCTATCCCTTTCCGGCTTTAGTTTTTCCTCTATTCTTTCTGTATACCCCCTGCTAAAGCTCTCACTATACTTATAGACCTAAGTTCCAACCCCTGATCCAAGTGTATAAATACCACTCTCTGCACTATATTAACTAGTTAAAAACAAACAAACACTGTTCTCCGCTCTGTCTTTTTCTCATTGTTTGTGTGAATGTTGATTATTGTGAATTTTTATGCTTTTTAGTGAAATGGTTATGCTTATTCCTGTGTTGTTATTGTTGCTTTGTATTTTTTTTTAAATCCTGTTTTTATTACTTCTGTATATCATAACCTTACTTAATAATAGTGGATATTGTAGTTTGTATTAATCTCCAAGAATTGTTACTGGCATTGGCTGGGTTTAGTGGTGGTTCTATGGGAATTTTCCCCATATATATATATATATATATATATATATATATATATATATATATATATTGATAGTTTGTTTCCCATTTTTCTTTTAGTCTGCTTCCTCTCTCTCTCTCTCTCTCTCTCTCTCTGTCTTTCTCTCTCTCTCTCTCTTTTCTTTTTTCCCTGTTTTCCAACTTCATTTTGTCATTACTTTTTTTTTCTTCTTTTTCTATCTCTTTACCCTCTTTTTTTTATTTACTTTTTTTTTTTTAATTTTTCTTTATTTTATTTTTACCTTTCTTCCTTCTCTCCTATCCCCTAATTTGCCTTTCTTTAGTGGTCACCTTTATTAGAGGTTATTAATATTGTAAATACATTCTTGTTAAGTGCCTCTTGTATTGTACCTGGTAGTGTTGTATTTTGTACCTTTAAATCAACGCAGGAGAAGGAACACCACATAACCAGACATCCTGAAAAGAGAGACCATGGGGAGACAGAGAAATAGCCCGCACATGAAAGAAAAGCAGGCATCACCAGAAAAGGAAGTAAACAAGTTAGAGGCATGCAGCCTATCAGAGCAAGAATTCAGAGTAATGATCATAGGATGGCTAAAAAGAATGGAAGAGAAATTTGACAATAACCAAGAAGAAATGAGGAAGAACCATGGTGAATTGAAGAAGAACCAAGAGGAATTGAAGAAGAACCAAGAGGATTGAAGAAGAACCAAGAAGAAATTAAAAATGACATCACTACCATGAAGAACTCAACAGAAAGCATCAAGAGTAGACTAGATGAAGCAGAGGACCACATCAGTGAGCTAGAAGACAAGATGGAAAAAAATACCCAATTAGAGCAGCTTCTAGAAAAAAAAGATTAAAAAGCAGGAGAAGAGCCTACGGGAGCTTTGGGACAATACAAAACAAAATAATATTTGAATAATAGGGGTTCCAGAAGGAAAGGAAACTGAGGTAGACATGGGAAAAGTATTTCAAGAAATAATGACAGAAAACTTTCCTGAGATAGAGAAGAAAAAACCCACACAAATCCAAGATGCTCACAGAGTCCCAAACAAAATAAATCCCAGAAGACAGATGCCAAGGCACATTATAATTAAA